GGTCAACTGGTTAGCTATCTGGGGAAAATAAAATTTAATTCACAAATTCATTTCAAATTATCAAATAAATTGCTTATGGATCAATAGACAAAAATTAAGACACAGAAAATGGAAATAGTAGGTATTGAATTTAGTCTAGCAAAGATAGGACATTCTAATTTTTAAAAAATATATTTCAATTATTTCTAAAGTTGACATTTGACATCAAAATAACAACAAAAATGAAAAATAAAATATTTCAGAAATATGAATCAAGGAAGACTATTCCTTTATACTCTATTAATATAGTGTTCATTCAAATCAAAACTAAAAAGCTTTAAAGACTATATACTTAAATGGTCGATTCACAATATAAGTGGTATTCATTCACATATGTAAAAACCTACCACCTAATCACTAATTAATTTGCGATGATTCATATCAAATTTAGTGCCTTTCTTCTCATCCTGATCTGTTTAAATGTTACCTTTTTCAGAAAAGCAGTAATAGGTTACCCTGTTTGTCTCATAGTACCCTGCATTTACCATGAACTGTATTTACTTATTCATAGCACTTCTATCCAAACTCCATGGAGTTTAGACTCTTATGTATTATGTTCAGTTTTGTGGCCTCCTCATTTGATACAGGTTTTGGCACATACTATATTCTATAGATCTTTGCTGAATGGAAGAATTAGCACTTCATCAAGGTCCTCAAGTAACTGGCATGATTTTGAAGATGTAAATTTGAACTGAGACCAGTAAACAATGTTTTACTAAACATATGGCTTCTGAAATTGTTAACCTTAAAATTTCAGAGGTATCCTTAATATTTACTAAGCATTAGTAGTGCTATTGTGCAAAATACTTTTCAAATATTAACACATTTTTTTTTTATTTTACTTACTTTTTTAGAGAGAGGGGAGGGAGGGAGAAAAGAGAGGGAGAGAAACATCAATGTGTGGTTGCCTCTCACATGTGCCTGAGGGACCTGGCTGGCAACCCAGGCATGTGCCAACTGGGAATCAAACTGGTGACATTTTGATTCACAGGCTGGCGCTCAATCCACTGAACCACATTAACCAGAATTAACCACATTTAATTCTCTTTTACAAGGCTGGTATGATCATTATACTGTTTTTATAGATAAGAATATGCCTGGAGAAGTTAATTTGCATATAAGAGATTATATAGCAGATAGGTGACAGAACTATATTTGAATCCAGGTGATTTCACTGTTCAAAAGTAATTCTCTATATTGTTAATTATAAATATGGGTCATGAACCTGGAATGCCATGGCTCATCAGAAAACATTCCATGGAATTCAAAGTAGGACCTTATCTCAAACAGCATTAACCAACTAGATAGAGATCAACAATGTGTGTGTATGCGTGGTGGTTGAGGGGGTGGGGGGATGTAGTTGAGAAGGTGTTTCTGACTCTACTTTTATTTTTAACTGGAAAAAACAGATTATACTTATGTACAATATAAAGGGGATAAGAAGGTGCTCTGAAAATAATACACAGAAGGCTGTTTTTCTCACAATCTAAGACTCTAAGTTCACTACAAACACCAATTGGTGGTGTTTCTTCCCCATTATTTTCAGTTCAGAAGAAACCACATCTTAAGAAATGAAGAGGAAACACACTTTCAATGGAACCCGGAAACACTCTTTTTTTATATTGTCATCAAGTTCACCCAAATGTATAGCCAACTATATGCTCAAATTTCCATTATGTACAAAAGTCCTGTAAAGTTTAGTTTTTTATGATTATATGCTTTTTCTAGGGGGAAGAGACAGTAGGGAGTGGGTAAGAACAACTCCTCATTCAAGATATAAGAAGATCCCACTTTGTTAAGTTATATAAGTGTCTAATCGTTATGCTGTACACCGGAAATATTGAATGTCAACTGCAACTGAAAAAATTTAAAAATTATTAAAAAAATAAAAAGATCCCAAGCTGTCATTAAAAGTACCTGTTTTCTTCACTTTTTCAAGATGGTAAAAATCAGCAGAGGGTGTAGCAGCTTGTAAGAAATACTATCTTGTGAACTAAAATTACAATACACACAATTTGTCATATTTGCATTCTTAAATAAAAAATGAGAAAACCAAGTTGTTAACATGAAATTATCTCATTCCTTGAAAGACAATCCAAAGTACACCCACATCAAATACACATTTAAAATTTATTATTTACTGTCTTACAGTAAATAATGGACCTCAAAAATTATACATTTTATTTGGAAAAGAGCTAATGTCATCCAAAGCAAGGATTAGGAACTGCAATAAAGCACTGGTTGTTAACAGTTATTTTGTATCCGGCCTAGAATGTTAAAATAGGTTTTTGGCCAAAAAATTAGAGGCAAACAATGATTTTTAGCTGAGTGTCAAATATTCACATAATGCCATGTGTAGAGATATTTGCAGTGGAACTCACAAAAGACATTTCATTTACTTATGAAATTCAGGTTTCATCTAAAATATTATATAAAAAAACTTTTTAAAGTCTTTATTAAATTAAAGATAAGGCCTGAGGTTACAATGTGATAAACTGGGCCTAGTCTAACTTGCATATAAATTTTGCTTGACCACTACATTAAAAACAGAAATTAAGTAGAATTTTCTTCAGGTTCAGAGCCCCCTTACCACATTCTACAGTCTTACCTATCTAGTCCCTGACGGTATACAAGTTTGTGAATTTTGAATTAATATTGAGCATTTTGAGCAAATTAAATCAAAGTGAATCATTATACAGTAGTTCATCTTGGAATTTTTCAAAAAGTGGTCTCTAAGTTATTTGATAAGCTAGCAAATGAAGTTAAATTCAAATGATGCCCACCTCATCTTTTTTCTTTTAATATGACTTAACATTTATTTGAAGGTAGATGGGTCATCAGGCATTTTACCAAATGCCCTCATAGATACACCTTCCTGTACACATCTTTGTTCCAATTTATTTCCAAGTCTGTGTTAACAGTGGAATGTGGAAATACTGCTGAGCCCTACTATATTAGCCTGAGATAGAATCTTGAGTCCTAAGGTTCTACATACTCAAAGTAGCCATGGATTCCAAATTCCTTGATTACTTCCTTAAGTACTACCTAGGTAGAAGAGAAATGAATCTCCCCTTCTTTTAAGATCATGGCAATATCTACAATAAAACTTAACTTTCAGTTTCCTAGTTCTGAATTACTTTTTCATTGTTTCTCAAAGGGTTAGAAAGTAAGAGTAAATTAGAAAAATTTAAATCTGCCACACATGAAGACAGAGACGCTCTTTTTAATGTGTAATTCTTGGCTTTAAAAGCTACTCTTTATAAGAATCTAACGATCCCTGAATGTACCTTGTATTTTCAGCTGTGTACAATCATTTTAAAATAATAAAACTATCATAGAAAAATAGTGCTGTGTCTAAGTCTTAAGAGTACCTAATTTTTAACCCTTGATTAACAACCTTACAGTAAATAAGACCTGAACAACAGAAATCAAATTCATCATTTATTTTTTGCTTAATTATATTAACTATTATTCACAAGTATGCTGGCAATACTGAGTAACTTCATCTTTCTCCAGCAGTCTTGAGTTGAAAAGTAAGATTGATGAACGAAAAAAGTTACTACTTCACTACTGACGAAGTTACTTGGAAACTCCCTCTACACCAGCTGATTTTTCATTTAAAGCTTTTGGAAGCATTCATGCGCATGATGATTATTTTCTAAGTAGCAGTCTGTGACAATAAAATGGTACTAGAAATAGTTAAAACTAATGTTTGGATAGAGTTAAACCTAATTGGAAAAGATTATCTCTTCAGTTAAAAATTAATAGACTCCTTAGATTTTAAGCAACATCAGCCTGTGAAGAATCCCTCCAAAGGGCACATTTACCATGCATCATGGAGCCCCCACCATGCCAGGCACTGTGACACAAGGGAAACATATCTCTGCCTTGCTAATGAGTACAGTCTTACTAATATTTTTCAGGGATTTCGTTTTACTGCTTTTAACTCCAAGTAAGCTCTGTGAGGACAGGGTTCCTGTTTCTCTTCTCTCCTATGACACTGTATTACCTAGCTCATAGAAAGTACTTAAATTTTTTAATTAAACATGTGCTTTTATAAAATTTATTCTATAATATTTTGGTTATTTTTATGAGATGATGTGTAAACCCAATTTATAACATCTTGGTTATAGGAAACCAACAATGACTCCAAGAACCAGTCTACTAATATCTAGTAATAAAGGTCATTAAGATTGAACTACTTGTATTAGAATAAAGAAAACTTTATTTCTTATCACATTTGATACTTCCTTTCAAAACAGATTATATAGCCTTAATGACACATGATCACAGGCAAATTATACATTTTTCACCTTTGTTTCAAAATAACACATTAACTACTACCTTACACATCTTTAGAAACATCAGCTGGATTTGTGCTGATTTCCAAATTTGAACTACATTCATGTCACTTGAATAGCAGTCCCACTAGAACTGGTTTTATTGGGTTGACCAAAAAATCCGTATGGTTTTTTTCTGTAATATAAACAACACATTCTTTATTTTCACCAATAATGCTATAGATTTTGATATTTTGAGTATGTTGGCTAGATCCTGCGTGGTAGAATGTTAACTGTTCTCAATTAATGTCTTGATTTCATCACTGTCAACTTCAACTGGTCTACCCAACCATGGAATGTCGTCCAGTGAGAAATCTCCAGCACAAAACTTGGCAAACCACTTTTGATACGTTCAATCAGTCACATTACCTTCTCCATACACTGCACAAATCGTTTTTTGCATTTTGATTGCATTTCTACATTTCTTGAAACAATAAACATAACGTGACAAAAATGTTGTGTATTTTCTTTCATTTTCAATATTAAAATGGCTACACAAAAATTCTCCAATTTTGGTAAGTTTTTTTTTAATGTACAAAACTCACTGATATGACAGCTGTCACAATACAATCTAACAAAATTGTTTCAAATGAAGGTAAAGACTAGCACTACTAGAACCATCTTACAGAAAAAGATGGCCAACCCAATAGTTTTATTTTAAAAAAATTACTACACTTTAGATGAGTAAAGAAAAAATACTATAATATTAAATTTTAAGGATTCATCCAAATCCAAATTATTCACTGTAATTCATAGGAATACCTAATTCAGCCATGAAAAGTAGAACAAAAGGAATATTTTACTTCTAAATTCAGTATAATAATTTTTCACAATTCACTTAAAAGATGGCTGTTAAAAGTAGAACCCAGAAAGTTCCTGACTTAAATGACAAACCAATAAATTCACCTGATAGTTATTTATTCCTGGTACACAACCTGAACACATATTACTACACAATTATTTTTCACAATGTTAAGAATAAATAGACTACACTAACAATGGTCAAATAAAAAAAATTAAGTCATTAAAAATTTAAAAAGTCAGTAAAAAATTTATTCATGTCACTATTTCAGTATAATCTGTTCATTCAGAATATTCTTCTTTTTGACAATCAGTAAAATTCCTCACATACTAAAAATAACACCATGTTTATGGACAAGTAAATTTATTTTCCCAGTAAGAGCTAATCGTCCTTTAAGGAGATTTCCCACATATTCACAGTACATAATATCACAGAACACCCATATTTGACCCAATTGTCTCTGAATGGTAGCATTACAAGATGGAAGTTCTTTGTGCCTGATAATTTGATTGAGTTTTACCCAAATGTCTTCCAGAGTTTGGTTGTTACAAACAGTGTGTTCTATTGTCCATCTTGCTCTATAAAATGAGTGTAAATTTAGTGCCTTTAAACTATTTTGCAATTTTTCAGACAAAGGAAAAATATTTTCAGTACAATTTCTGCTGGGAAGTGACACACTCCAAGACCTCCTCTTATGCCGTTTTCCTTTTTCTGATTGTTTATCCAGATTTCCAGAAGTAGTCTGTTCAGTCAGTGTGTGTGAATGGATTAAGTGCTTCTTTTCTTTCAAATTAGGCTGAAACTCCAATAGAGCTACTGTGCAATCATAACTCTGTGATTTAACAACATGTTCTGAATTGATTAAGTACTGTTTCACATCTTCAGCTGCCTCTTCAGAAATCACAGGTGGTGATCTTTTAGGCTTGAGTGGAAGTTTGAGCCCATCATATGGAAACCAAGGAATAAATCTCAATAGTGGACGTGTAGCAAAGTCCTGAATTGCTTTCTCTGCACTTTTTAGCAGTTCTGTAGGATCACTCTCATATGGTCGGTAATGTAATATTACTTCTGTAGTCATTCTGCAGTAATCCAGTTACTCATAATGAAGAAAACATTTCTGAGCTGAGCTCCTCACAGCTAGAATGTAATTTATAATTACAAGACTGTCTTTTTCCAAATCAGAGGGAAACAGGACCTAAAGTAGAAGTATTGCAAAGAATAAGATATGGTAGGGACAGCCTACATACAAATAGGCAGGAAGAAAACAAAAACCATTCCCAATATACTATTTTACCAAGGTGCTAGTGGTAAATGTGAATGTAATCCACAAAATTGGAAATATTTTCTCTCTCACCAAAATAAGGGACCTGGATTAGATGCCCTATAAAATCACTTCTAGCATAAAAATGCTAGTAGTCAATGTGTTTAGCTCGACAGATAATAAAGGAATTAGAAGTAATGATATTAACATATTAGATAATAAGCATCTCAAAAGTGTATATATAACAGAAAAATTAGTGATTCTTAAAATACTAGTTTCATATAACTAACAAAAATGTAGTAATACTTAAAATTTTGAGACATCTCAGTAGTAAACAATAAAAACATAAAAATAGTTTAACTTTGCGTTTTAACCAAGCTAGGGACTGGTTTTATGAAGAGTCTCCTCTGCATAACTGGGGCACTTAAGCAGTATCGAGACCTTAGTACCATGGCTCCTGAATTCCAATTTGGAAGAGAAACAAGAAGGCTAGACCCTTACTTTTTTTTCTTCTTAGAACACAGAAGTCCTCAAATTGCCCCAAATTAAGCATTGATAGTAAGTTTGAGCATACAGTACACAGACACAAGCCTGGGACTTCCAGGATCTGCAAAAGTTAGGTTTCCTAACCAGATCCAAAAAGCCATAATGCAGAGTCTTTCATATCTTGCACTGAAAAAACGAGGTTGAATCTCTACTCCCCAAAATCATTAAAGAACTACTTGATGAGGGTTCTCCCACTGTCAGGATAACAGTAGTGAGAATTCCTGGCATGATGTCACAGTACTCCTTTGAGCACTGATTCTGACAAGTAAAAAGAATTCATCTCATAATGATTATTTCGCCTGTTACTGTCCACTAGCAGATTTGACAATTCTTGAATTCAAAAATGACGGTGACTCTTGATATCCCTAATTTTCAATATGGATCTAAATATAGATAGAATATTCTTTCAAGAATTAATGCTTTGATTTTTCCCTTATACTTTCACATTATAAGATATGGCACTGAGAATTCTTTCAGTATTTTTGAAACTTATTCAGTGTTGCACTCCAGAGATAATGAAGTTGCAATTTCCGTAGCATTTTACATATCTAAGAAAGTGAACTTAAATGACCATATAAATTGAAATATTTAGTATCCACCATTAGTAAAATTAAAATCTGTGAAATCTTGATTAACTAGGACAATGGGGAAGAATAATACCAAAGAGCTTTAACAAAGCTGAAACTACTAGTGACTGTCAAAGTGCATGTCCTTTTAGGCTGCTAAAATACTCTTTCCCAAGTTATGTTCTGCTTTCGAAAATAAAGAATAGAAAACTAAAAATTCCCCATGGCAATTAGCCTCCATATCACTGAAATTTTACTGTGTTTAACAGCTTTTAATTTGCGTAAAATCACATCTAACAGCTAATAGAACTGTTCCAAATTCCCATCAAATAGAACTGGTTTAAATTCCCATTAAAGTAGTTAATAAGGAAATGATGTCTATTTCCTGCATTAGGATGCAACATGGAGTCTTGGGAAGATGGAGGAAAGTCTTGTGTTGACACAATGCCTCAATCACTTATTAGCTTTGTGATCATGGTAAGTTTCTTCTGAGAGTTAAACTCCATTCCACATACCTGATGTGAGGTTGAGAGAGAAAGAGCATGACAGCTCCTTTTTTTCTTTTTCTTTTTCTTCAGGAATAATCCATTTCAGTCCAGCTCATGTGCTCAAGCTAAGCTGACTGGTCCTTTTGCTACAATGCTTAATATTGCACTTCCTTAATTCTACAGTCAGGGACAGTCCTGTTAACCAGTATGATTTTATGTTACAAATGGGACTGGTGAGCTTCTGGAAAGTTTGTTGCCTACATCATAGCTAAGGCGAGGGGTGGGAAGGCCCCTCAAAATGGATACCACAAGGAAGTGAGTGCAATGTAACTGAATTCAAATGTCTACTGAGCATTTTCTCAGCTCAGTCCAAGAAGGTATTGGTAATCACATAGAAGAACACCCAAGAAATAAAAAGTGCATTTGTGGTACAGAAAAACATGATATAAAGCTGAAAGCATTTAAAATAAAAGTTTTTCAGAAAACAAATCGGAATTCTAAAAAATTCTCCACCCTGTATTTTTCTAAATAATGATCTAATTATTAAACATACTCAAATTCATTGCTGTGTACAGAAAATGAAAGTTGACATGAATTTTCCCATATACACAATATTTTGAAGAAAGCTACAGTAGACTTTAACAAACCTAAACTACTTGTTAGTACTAGGCATTTCTAAACCTTTGGCACTGGTCTTGTGCAATACAGGGCTAATTTTACAGATGAAGCGGAAACTTGGTAATTTAGTGCCGCATGAAGAGACAAGAAACAAAAGAAAATCACTTCAGATATCGGCTGCCGCCTTGGTTCATGGGGCTGTCCCCTGGTACGTCACCTTCTGCGGCTAAAATGTGCCTGGTGACTGCAGCAGCACCATATAACTGAGTGAGTGATTTACCAGGTATCTATCTACTCCGTTCTAGAGGAAAGGTCTTAAAACTAAAATATCAAAAAAATCGAAATTGCTTCCTGCCGCTCGGCGCCAAGGGACAGAGCAGCAGGCCGAGCAATGAGAATGTAAGAAGGGCAAGGTCTGCATCCCAGAGAACAAGCCTGTGTGGCAACGGCTTGAAGAACTAGAGATAGAAGGGGAGAAAACAGATTAAGGGGAGTCAGGGTAGCAAGAGTTTACCTTTCAGGGCCAGCAGGTGCTCCTGTTTGGGGGGATTCACTTCCATTTTGACCGGCACTTTAGACCCAATGCCTACGGAGGCTGAAAAAGTTCAATCCAACTCGGAAGAGAACAGAAAAACGCACTTTAGGAGAGACGAACTGTCAAACACACCCCCGTAGTTTCTCCCTTCCGGTGGTGTCTTAAATTCTCTCCTTACTAGGTCCTCTACGGACCCAACATCTTTTTACCAAGGCCACCACATAAAACACTCTGCCTTCAAGCCGCAATCACACATCGCAACCACAAGAAACCTCCCGCCGCGAACAACTCTGGGCCTCTGAAATTGCGACTTTGTGGAGCCTGAGATACAGCTGTGGGACGCTGGGAGTTGTAGTTTACACAAAAACCGCGTTGAATGCAGGGAGATGTAGTCCTTCCTTTCGCAATCGAGGACTGTAAGTCTTTACTAGAGCGCGAGGTTCATCCCCAAACTTATGTTTTAGCTTACCTTTTCCCTTAACTTTATTCTTTGTTGCAAGGAGTTGCAGACTCCTTGATAACAATAAAAATAATAGAGCGACATGTGCAACGCCGTGCAGCCGAACAGGTAGAGACTGGTGCGAGGAACGAGGAAGTCTTGGGAACAGCCTCACCCCCCCCGCCCCCGCCCCCGCCCCCCGCGGTAGTATTGCGCCTGTGCGCTGGTGGCGGGAGCCGAGGCCCCTGGGTAGGAGGCTCTATACCCCGCCCCTCTGTTGAAGTCCCTCAGCTCCTGCTGCGGTGCCGCTCCTTCTAGGATGGCTGCCCTAGTTGTAAGCAAGCCTGGAACGGGGCTGGACAGTGGCCGTCAGGGCAGCCGCGGTACGGCCGTGGTGAAGGTGAGGGACTTTGCGTGCTGTGTTTTCCACCGTTGGCCTCCCTTCGGTTCATCCCGGAGATCTGGCTGCAGCGCCGCGGCCCTGGATTCTTGGGCCAGGATGCGCGGCCTCGGGGCCCCTGGGTTCTACAAGCCTTGCCCTCCTGTCCGCGACTGGACATTTGTGAAAAGAAGGTTATAAGTCTGTGAGAGTGACTTGGGCTGTTTTTCCCCCAGGTCTTCTGCTTTTAGTTAAACTCAGCAGGCATTAATTACCTTATTATTATTAAATCAAGCTGTTATTAGCATCAGGTACTAAGTCAGGTATTTTAACTCGTTAATATCTGTTGATGAGGTAGATGTTAATTCTCGTTTTACAGGTAAGGAAATTAAGGTTTAGGTTAACACAGTGTGCAGCAGAGCCAGGGATGACTGGCTTAAAGTTTGCTTTTCACTATTGCATTACGTCTATGACAAGACATCGATTATTGGGTGATCAGCCTCCTCCTTTTTTGGTAGTAATAGTTTCTCAACACTTCAAAGAAGCCTGCATCGGGTCTCTGAGTGGCTATATGCTTGAAATTGGAAATTCTACCCTGTGTAAATGCTCCAGTATGTCTTTACTTAAAAATCAGCTAAAATAAACGTGAAATTCATTTTTCTCTTCCACTATATATATGGAAAAATTTGAAAGAGAGAACCTATCATAATGGTGTGTAGAATACCTTTGGGATTATATGTAATCTGAGATATGGGTAATTCTCATTCCTGGCTACATGTGAGAATCATTGAGGATTTAAAAACAAATAAAGAGAAACAAAAAACCTGAACTGCTACTGATGCAGCCCTTTCCCCCAGTTCTGATTGTCATCAGTATATTTTTTGCATACCTCAAGGTGATTTTAATGTGTAACTATATCTGAGAACCACTGGACCAGATAAGATCTGAAGTATTTTTAAATAATAGCCACCTATGATTTTTCACCTGTTGGTTTTATAGGACAACAAATGATGCATTTCTGCTCACAGCTGTATTAGCAATCAGTGTTGATGGTTGATTCATCTGACCTTTGTATATTAATGAAGTTATTCTGAAAATACACAGCATGTCCAGGGTGAAGAGGAGCCCTCTTATTATCAGGCAGACTGTATTGTTGAGATTTTGTTTGTTGAGTTATGTTTTTTCCAAGAGAATGTCTGAAGATTATTTTGTAAATTAATTTGAATTCAGAGGTTGTATTTGGAGTGAATGTTATTGCTGTAACTACTTTTGTTAGCCTGTTTGCCTTAAAATTTCAAAATACACCAAAGCCTGTTGTAGCTCCAGTTTGTTGCAGTACACAGTTTGATGTATGAAAGGCTTCTTTTGTTCATTTTCATCTTTACTTGTAAAATGTGCCCTAAAAGGGCGTAGGTCAGCCCTTTTTGGCAAGGGCCTAACACTGTAATTTGAGGAAGTATGGTGGCATAAATTAAAAAAAAATCATTGTGATTTTCATAGATGAAAGCAAGAATATTAATTGGAAGGTAAGAGTTGAAGTATAATAATGCTAATATTATGTAAAATGGCCTCCTTTTTAATGATCAAGTTGATAATGGCATGTTTTTTTTTCATTAGAAAAACAAAGATAAAAACCTGAAATTATGAAATCACGTTCAGAAAAGAATCAAGGAAGTTTCTTTTGAATAGAATCTTCATCCTTTTAAATTATGGACTGATTGATTAAAATTTAATTTGCATGTAATAAGTACATGTAATGAAGTCCTCTTAGGCGTATTTGTGAAGTGTATAAAATTAAGAGCTATTCTCCTTTCTAGGACTTACTTTATCTTATATTGTTAGCCAAAATTCCTATTCATAAATACGGAAGCAAGAATGTCTTACTCTTTTTTTACTGAGTTGATACAAAATAGCTTAGTAACTTTATTTTTGGACCCTTATTTAGTTTACTAATCAGTGGTATTTTACTAGTGTTTTTTGAAAAAAACCTGTAGTAGCAGTATAAATTCTTTTATCTTATTCAATAATAAGATCAGAGATACAAGATATGAATTAACTAAGTAAAGTTTTAATTTGCTTCTTTGGAGTTTATTGTCATAAACAAGTAAAATTTATTGTGTCACATTAGTGAGAACATTCGTAAAAAGCCTTGCATTTATTTATAATATCTAATTCTATGGTGAATATCTTCTGAGTACTTAATCAAATTTGATATTTAGTGAAACTTTTCTTCTGCACTAAAAAACACAGGATAAATTAAAGTGTGTGTGTATACTATATTTAACTTAAATGTAGCTGTACCCTAACTCTTCCTTGCTAGACTACATAGTTTTGCAGTATATGAATGTATTATAGTTTCTTTCCATTCTTAGGTTGATGGGTACTTTGTTTCAAATCTTTTTCTAATGTAAATGGTACTGTAAGGATTAACATATAGATTTTACATGATAAGTTCTTGAAAGTAGAATTGATGAGCTATTCTAACTTTTTATAGTCATTGTCAAATTGCCTTCTAGAGGAGAAGCTGTATCATTCAATAAAACATTTTACAGCAACCAGTAATGTATGCGAGAGATGCTCTCTCACACTTTAATCAGTACAAAGTTATCAACCTTTTTTTTAATTTAAGATTTTATTTATTTATTTTTAAAGAGAGGGGAAGGGATGGAGAATGAGAAGGAGAGAAATATCAATGTGTAGTTGCCTCTCATGCGCCCCCAAGTGGCATGTGTCCTGACTGGGAATCAAATCGATGACCCCTTGGTTCACTCACAGGCCAGCACTCAATCCACTGAGCTGCACCAGCCAGAGCTGTTATCAACTTTTTTTATTGAATCTGGGAAAAAGTATACTGGTGTAGTTTTAATTGCATTTTAAAGTGTTTTGAGTGAAATTGGACATCTTTTCATATATTTAAAGGAAAGACTGTTTTATTTCCTTTTTTGGTGAACATGTGTTACCTTTCAACTTTTTTGAACCATACCGGGATGCAAACCAATGATAAATTATCTATGTATTTACAGTGAAAGATGTTTGCTTGTCAAAGCAAACACATCCAAGTGCGTGGAAGTACGTCCAAAATAATTGTAGTTAAGATTCAAATTTTAGTGGATTAAGTCTGATTTTTACTCTGGGTTTGCTGTTTTTACCTTGTGTATTGTATTTGTTGGGGATGATGGTTGGCCAAACTGGTTAAAATTTTTTTGTTGTACTTTATTTTATAAGCCCATTGGTGTTGGTATTTGGAATACTCTGTTTCTGAGGGCTCTTTGTTCTAACAGTAAAGACAGGTTAGAAAGCCATTAAAGGTATTAATTGGTTGTTAAGATAGACACTCATGGCACATAGGGGCCCCAAGGATACTGTGGTCATTTCAGTTAGACTGAGCTGTGGTAGTCCTGAGAGATTTGGTGTTTAGGAATTTGTTGGTTTATTAATGTAAAAAACAATTCACTGGAAAAGTGTCTATTTAGCTATATCCTCAGCATTGGCAGGAAAAAAGTAGCTAAAACAGTTTGTCATGTTCTGGGAACTGTAAGTTGTTTGATACAGTCGGAGAATACACTCTGAAAGGGGATGGGAATGAAACAGTAGGATAGAGACCAGATTGTAGCAGGTCATGGATGGAAGGCACAGGAGTTTGTGGTACAATTTAACAATTCAGTGTATTTTTCTTAACTAAAATTGTGAAACACTTCAGACATATTAAGAAATAAAAGTACCAAAATCTTTCATTGATATAATATAGTTTGTTGACTAATTATAAAACATAAACTCATGGGTCTAGGAATCAAAATATGCTGATTCTGGCTCCTTTCTTTTGATTGACTGCGTGGCCTTCGGCAAATCATGTATCTGTAATAGACAAAATATTTTCTAACCCAATGGCAATTTATTGATTGAGAACAAGGAATTGAAATTGAAGTCAAAGGTGATTGCTTTCTTGCCTTTACATTATATGATTAACATGTTCTCTATCATTTAGAAGGGTAAATTGTCATCCTTGCACATACTTCAAATTATTTTGTTCAAATTGATGATGTTTTGGAGGTTAATTGCCGAGAAATTGTTTAGTAACCCATGTTTGGGAGAATGATATATTGTTACAGATCAGATATAACTAATCAAGTCATAATTTTTAAAATATAAAGATGATGTTAATTTACAACATTATCTTAGTTCCTAACACTTAACATTTCAAGGAGACTTCAGTCTGATTTAATTTTGGTAGGATCTGTCAGATGAAATGATAAAAGGTGATTTGAAGTTTTACAACCTAGACAATTTTATTTTTTCATGGAGAAATAAAGTAATATAATAAGATTTATTCAATATATTAAATCAGCTTTTTAAAAAACTAAACTGTGTATGCTTTTAAAATCACTTGAAGACCACATGTTCCCTTTCCAAATATTAGGTGCTGGAGTGTGGAGTTTGTGAAGATGTATTCTCTTTGCAAGGAGACAAAGTTCCTCGCCTTCTGCTTTGTGGCCACACAGTCTGTCACGACTGTCTCACCCGCCTGCCTCTTCATGGAAGAGCAATCCGTTGTCCTTTTGATCGACAAGTAACAGATCTAGGTAGGAAAATATATGTATATGTTGAGGGTTTGAAATTGTTCATGGAATATACATGTCATAGAAATAAATTTCTTTCTACTTGATATTTAAAATTATATAACTCCAAGAAGGATTCAGTTTCTATTAAGGCCAGTAGTCTTGTAAGTATAAACTAGCTCACTCTTAGGTACTAATTTTATTTCATCTTCTAAGATGTTTATATTAAATACTTACTTATATTTGAAGAGTTTTAAGATACCCTGAGAGAAACATGCTAACCTTATTCAAAAAAATAAGAAAATTCATTTGCCTGAAGCCATTGATACAATAAAAGCATCTCCTTAATAAATTAATAGGGCAATAATGAAAATACAATTAAGTAATTTGAGTGTCAGTATGTTTTTATTTCCTGGTATCAGAAACAAAAGTGTTTTTAGCTTGTGATGACTACTTGTTTTCTGTTTATATAAATTTAAAGGTCTTGGTTTTTCTTTTTAGTTTCATGCATACTTTTAAAACTTTGCTGTATATATTTCAAAATGAATTATTACTATGAGATGCCAGATTTGGAAATAATAACATTAACATTTTAACAGTTATTTTATAAACATAAGGTCCATAAGTGTACTCTTGATATCAGAATTTTCTTCAAAATAAATAAATTTGTCACTTTATTTCAGGTCTTCAGTAGCAGTGTTTTAAGGCTGTCGTACCTTATGTAAAGTGGAACACATTCAAAATAATTTATCTTCCAAAAGAGAAAGCAAGAATACCCATAGAATACGTAGATTTTTAGACTGGAAAGCTTTAAAATGCTAAGAAACATGATTACAAATGTTTTCTTTAGGGAATGAATAGGTTTCTTAAGGTTTTAGTAATCTTTGATTTAAATAAATATGTGGTATGTCCATTTGCCAGAAAATTAATATAGGACAGTGTTCGTTAGCATCATTATTATAAATAACATTAACTTACTATTATCCAAAAAATAATAGGGGCAAAGGGGGAGGTATTTGTATTTCAACATTCTTTTATTTGACCTTTTATTCTGTACGATACATATTTATCATACCATATTTATAGAAAACTATCTAGAAATATTTATTTAGAAATATACATTTTAGTCCTGGCTGGTGTAGCTCAGTGAATTGAGCGCAGGCTGCGAACCAAAGCATCACAGGTTCGATTCCCAGCCAGGGCACATGCCTGGGTTGCAGGCCATGGCCCCCAGCAACCACACATTGATGTTTCTCTCTCTCTCTCTCTCTCTCTCCCTCCCTCCCTCCCTCCCTCTCCCCCCACCTTCCCTCTCTAAAAACAAATAAACAAAATCTTAAAAAAAAAAATAAATATACATTTTAGAAATAATGTTTTGTAAATGGAAGGTGGACCCTTCTACCTTTTTGAGGGTACCGTACCTTCCTTATATAAATACTACAGTGTGGGTTGTTATCCCCCTCACTGTTTAACTAAACTAGAAATTTGTGACAAAGAATTTTAGTTACAAATTTATAGCCAAAAATTTAGTTATAGCCTAGGTTGAAGTTAAACATGATTGCTACCATATCAACATTAGAAAAAATAAACTAGTAACTGTGCCTTAGATATAGATTGTAATTAGTGTAGCTTGTAGGTTAGATTTTTACTGTGATTTTTAGCCTGTGGAATATGTGTTAGTATGGTTTCATGTCATTATTTTAAAAAATCTATTTTTAATTGTACTATAGAAATTATGTATACAATGCAGAATATTTGAAAATCTATAAAAGTATAAAGAAGAAAAAATCATTTGTAATACCTCCTTTAGAGAAGACAATTACTATTAATGTGAATCAAAATTATTCTCTAGTCCAAGAAGAATATTAGTAGTTATTTGTGGTAGTTATCAGTGCATTTCAGCAATATTTCTGGTTCTTCTCTTCCATCCACATGGTAAAGTTATACTTCCCTACTCTCTTATAGTTAGGTATGGCTGTGCGATTTCCTTTTAACCAGTGAAATATGAATGGGATGAAGTGCAAACTTCCAGACAGAGCTGTTAAGAAAGGATTTATGAGCCCTGGCTGGTGTAGCTTAGTGGATTGAACGCTGGCTGCGAACCAAAGCATCACAGGTTCGATTCTCAGGGCACATGCCTGGGTTGCAGGCCCCAGTGAGGGCCATGTGAGAGGCAAACACACATTGATGTTTCTCTCTCTCTCTTTCTCCCTCCCTTCCTTCCCCTCTCTAAAAAAATAAATAAGTAAAATCTTAAAAAAAAAAAGAAAAGAAAGGCTTTATGATGGTTTACAGTGAATTCTTCTTCCTCCTACATGAGGTGGCCCAGGTGGTTAGAGGCTTAGTGCTCCATGTCCCTGGTCATGGGCAGTAGGAAACACAACCTTTCTTGTCTTCCCCAACCCAATATGCTGCATGAACAAAAAGTAAATCTTTGTTTTGTTTAAACCATTGAGATTCTAGAGTTATTTTGACAGTTACAGAAATATTAGTGACATACTACATACTGCTAGGAGTTTATGTCTTTATGTTCATTATATAGTGACAATATTTGGAAAATTATCAGTATATATTTAAGTAAAGGACTCTCTTATTATACTTCTTAACCCTTACATATAAAGTAGATACAGCTCAGCTTGTTATAGAACATGTGTGAAAAACTGAAGTGATTAAGGAGAAAGCCTTGTTGTGTGACATAGTTGAGGGCGAAATGCTGCATCAGCTACATAGAGGTTCTTGGGAAAGGAGATTGTGAAAGTCAGAGGACGCTGAAGATATTTAACCTAATTTGAATTTTTTTTTTGAGAATCACAAGAAATGGTTTCTTTTGTTTTCTTTCTCTTCCTTTCCCTCCCTTCCCTTCCCTTCTCCTTTTCCTTGCTTTTTTTCTGTCTCTCTAGATAGGCCAACAGGAAGAGGAGTCTTGTAGCTGGTGACCCCATCATTCTTTCATGTATGCATTTATTAAGTGAATATATATATTAGGTGGCAGTTATGTGTCAGGTAGTAGCTGCTGCATAAAAGCTCACCATAACATTCCCTGGCTGGTGTGGCTCAGTGAATTGAGTGCTGGCCTGCTAACCAAAGGGTCACGGGTTCGATTCCCAGTCAGGGTACAAGCCTGGGTCGTTTGCCAGATCCCCAGTACTGGGTACATGAGAGGCAACTGGACATTGATGTTTCTTTCCCTCTCTTTCTTCTTTCCTCCCCCTTTCTAAAAATAAATAAATAAAATCTTAAAGAAAAAAAAGCTTACCGTAAGAAATATGACAGACTGCTGCAGGATCTGGTTTTTATTTATAGGGTCAAGGAGAGAGAGAGAGACAGACACACAGACAGACATGGCGATGGTGAGAAAAAGGGAGGGAGGGAGATTGAGAGAATGAGAATGTGATTGCATGCATATAGGCTTATTCACCTGGCCTTTTATTGCCAGTTCTGGGGAACAGAAGCATTGTTCCTTATTCAAATGTGCCTAGAGTCTTACCTACCTAAAAGGGAGTGTTGTCTTGCTGTAGTGTATCTGTGTGAGGAGTTTATGTAGTTATTGGCTACTGTGGGGTTCTAGGTTAGATGAGGGGTGGAGAAAAGACTATCTTTAGCTGTTCTACTTTCAATTTACTTAGAGATGGAGTTATTTTAGGTTAAGTCCTTTGTACAGAGGTTTTCAAACATAAGTCATAGCTTATTTGTGGTCATGAAATCAATTTAATTGGTTGTGATCTTAATTGATCTTAAAAATAGAAATAGACCTAAAAACATCAGTGTGTTACACACTGTAAGGGTGAACATTGATATGTGAAATTTTTGTTTGTGTTATATATATATGATATATGATCCTGAGTTGTGATGTAAATTTTCAAAGCACTTATTTTAGAATATATAGTAAAAGTTAGTGACAGAATAGGGTATATAAAAGTAAATGATAGAATAGGGTATATAAAATTAAATAATAGAAAAATAATAGAACTTTAAATTATGTTTTTACTTAGAATGCTGAGGAGTTGTTTTTTTTTTAACTTAAAAAATTTTTTTTAAAAAAGGGAGAGAAACATCAGTTGGTTCTACCTATTTATGCATTCATTGGTTGAGTTTTGTATGTGCCCTGGCCAGGAATCAAGCCCACAACCTTGCCAATGCTCTGACCAACTGAACACCCAGCCAGGACCTTGAATATTAACACAATTGTTCTATCATAAAAATAAAATGGGGGATATTTGTGTTTTTAAAATTTAGACTATTAATGGCTAAACTATGACTTAGAAATTACTATTTAGGTATAAGGTAAAATGATTAAGATTGCATTCTGTGTGATTTAGTTTTTATATTTATTCTAGGAGATTCAGGTGTCTGGGGATTGAAAAAAAATTTTGCTTTATTGGAGCTTTTGGAACGACTACAGAATGGACATATTGGTCAGTATGGTGCTGCAGAAGAAGCCATTGGGATATCTGGAGAGGTATTGATTGACCTTGATGAAATATTTGTTATAAGCATGAATTTTTTCTTTTAACTTAAAATATTTGCCATTAAAAGCACAACATTAACTCACTCCAGCAGGTAGGATCCCAAAACACAACTTTTTGTTACATTACAGTTTTTCAGGCAACAATACTCCCAAGAGAACAAAAGTAAAATGGAAACCTGAATTCTCTGTTAATACTATACCCAAACTCTGTTTTTTTGTGTGTATAAACTTGTCTCCTTATCATAATTCCTTTCTATCCCAGAAAGGTCAGAGTAAGAAGATTATGGAAGAGTAAGAATGATATGTAAGCTACATTGAAGCAGAGGCTGCAAAAGTAAACCAGTCAACAGTAAAGCACAAAGAAAGAAAAGGAACTCTCTGAAAGAGGCTGTGTAGTGTAGAAGCAAAATGCCTTAAAGATAGCACTTGCTCCTGAGAGAGTTAATACTGCTAAATATCTTTATGATATTTATGAATACACCTACATATAATTCTCTTTTATTAAGTCATGATTTCTCTATGTAAGTATATCATTCAAATGAATTTCAAACTGAACCACTCTTTTTTTGGTGTGAAATTTTTGCAGCTCTTTCACATGCTCTTTTATCTGTATTTCAAAAGACATTAGAATAATATAGAATAATATCTAATTATTTGTCAGATCTGGAAAACAGAAGACATGACTTTTTTATTTTACATGTACACATTTTCCATAATTGCACATAAAGCAGTTTAAACTTTTTTCATATCCAATATATTAGTAAAACCATACAGGTTTCAGGTGTACAACTCAATACAACGTCATGTGCATATGCATCATGTGCTTGTGGCCCAAAGTAACGTCTCTTTCCGTGCCTGTTTATCTCCCCTTCGCCCACTTCTTCTACCTCCCACGCCCCTTTCCCTCTGGCTTTCACCATACTGTTGTCCATATCTGTGTGTCATTTATGTATTTTTCCTTAATCCCTTCATCTTTTTTCACCCAGATCGCCCAATCCCCCTCCACTCTGTCTGCTGTCGTCTGTCTGTTCTGTGTATCTGTGCTTCTGTTTCTATATTGTTTGTTAAATTATTTGTTCATTAGAGTCCACACTGAAGTGAGATCATGAGGTATTTGTCTTTCTCTGACTGACTGGCTTATTTCACTTAGCCTAATAGTCTTCAGGTCCATCCGTGCTGTTCTAAAAGGTAAGATGTCCTTCTTTTTTTACAGCCAAGTAGTATTCCACTGTGTAAATGCACCACAGCATTTTTTAGCCACTCATCTACTGATGGGTACTTGGGCTGCTTCCAGATCTTGGCGATTGTAAATAACACTGTAGTGAACATAGGGGTGCATATATTTTTTTCAAATTAATGTTACAGGTTTCTTTGGATGTATTCCTAAAAGTGGAATTGCTGAGGTAACTTCATACTGCTTTCCATTGTGGCTGCTCCAATTTGCATTCCTACCGGCAGTGCAGGAGGGTTCTGTTTCTCCACATCTATACCATCACTTGGTGTTTGTTGATTGCCGATTGCCATTCTGATAGGTGTGAGGTGATATCTCATTGTGGTTTTAATTTACATTTTTCTGATGATTAGTGTATTGAGCATCTTTTCTTGTGTCTATTGGCCCTCTGTCCTCTTTGGAGAAGTGTCTATTCTGGTCCTTTGTCCATTTTTTAATTGGGTTGTTTGTCTTACTGTGTAGTATGTGTAAGTTCTTTATATATTTTGGAAATTAACCCATTATCAGATTATCATTGGCTAATATGTTGTCCCATTTAGCAGGTTGCCTTTTCATTTTGTTGATGGTTTCTTTTGCTGTGCAAAAGCTTTTTAGTTTGACATAATCCCATTTGTTTATTTTTTTCTTTATTTCCCTTGCCCAGCGGTATATCAGCAAAAATATTACTATGAGAGATGTCTGAGATTTTACTGCTTATGTTTTCTTAAAGGATTTTTATGGTTTCACAACTTAACATTTAAGTCTTTTATCTATTTTAAGTTTGTTCTTGTGTATGATATAAGTTGGTGGTTTAGTTTCATTTTTCCATGCATCTGTCCAATTTTCCCAACACCATGTATTGAAGAGACTGTCTTTACTCCGTTGTCTGTTCTTCCTCTTTTGTCAATATTAATTGCTGAGGCATTGGGATCTTTTGTAGTTTCATATGAATTTTTGGAATATTCTAGATCTGTGAAATAAGCCATTGGTATTTTAGTAGGAATTGTGTTGAATCTATAGATTGCTTTGGGAAGTGTGGGCATTTTAATTATGTTAATTTTTCCTATTCATAAACATGGTATGTGCTTCCACTTACTTGTATCTTCCTCAGTTTCTTCAGTATGATATGATTTCCAAGTACAGGTCTTTATCTCCTCAGTTAAATTTATTTCTAGACTAGGTACTTATTTTTCTGCAATAGTAAATGGGATTGTTTTCTTAATTTCTCTTTCTGACAGTTCATTATTGGTGTATAAAAATGCCACCTATATTTGAATATTAATTTCGTATACTGCAGCTTTACCAAATTCATTTATCAGTTCTAGTAATTTTTTTTTTGGTGCAGTCTTTAGGGTTTTCTATATATGGTGTGTTATCTGTGAATGATGACAGATACTTGTCTGATCACTGTTGCATAAGAGTGGTAAAGTGGACATCCATGTCTTGTTCCTGATCTTAGCGGAAATGCTTTTAGTTTGTGCCCATTGAGTATGATGTTGGCTGTATGTTTGTCATATATGACCTTTATTATGTTGAGGTAAGATCCCTCTGTTCCCACTTTGCTGAGAGTTTTTATCATTAATGGGTGCTGGGTTTTATCAAATGCTTTTTCTGCGTCTGTTGGTATGACCATGTGATTTTTGTTTATGTGGTGAATCATACATATTGATTTGTGAATATTGTACCAAACTTGCATCCCTGGGGTAAATCACACTTTACCATGGTTTATGATATTTTCAATGTATTGCTGGATCCAGTTTGCTAATATTTTGTTGAGGATTTCAGCATCTATGTTCATCAAGGATATTGGCCTGTAATTTTGTTTTGTTTGTAGTATCTTTATCTGGTTTTGGAATTAAGACAATGCTGGCCTCATAAAATGAGGTTGGAAGTCTTGAATATTTTTGGAATAGTTTAAAAAAGAGAGGTGTTCTTATTTGAATGTGTGGTAAAATTTGCCTGTAAAGTCATCTGACTCAGGACTTTTTCTGGGAATCTCTGATTACTGCTTTGATTTCATTACTTGATTTCATTGGTCTATTCAGATCTTATTTTTCTGATTCAGTTTTGCAAGATTGCATGTGTCTAGGAGTTTGTCCATTATGCCCAGGTTTTCCATTGTCAGCATAGAGTTCATAGTATTTTCTTACATTCCTTAGCATTTCTGTGGTGTCAGTTGTTACTTCTCTTTCATTTCTGATTTTATTTACAATATTTGGGTCCTCTCTCTCTTTTTCTTGATGAGTCTGGTTAAAGGTTTGTCAGCCTTGTTTATCTTTTCAAAGGTCCAACTGTTTGTTTCATTGATCTTTTATATATATATAAAATACATATATGATCATATATTACATTATGTATGTGTAATATATATATGTCTATGTTATCTTTTCCTCTCTAATCTTTATGATTTCCTTCCTTCTACTTTCTCTGCGCTTTGTTTTTTGTTCTTTTTCTAGTTCTTTTAGGTGTAGGATTAGATCATTTATTTGAGATTTTACTTCTTAAGGTAGGCCCGTGATGCTATGAATTTTCCTCTCAGGACTGCTTTCACTCTGTCCCACAGATTTGTTCATTTTCATCTGTTTCCAGGTAGCTTTTGATTTCTTTTTTGACCTCATTGTTAACCCATGGGTTCATTTTTTATTTAATGTAATATTGTTATCTTTGATGTATTTCCTAATTTTTTTTCTGGAAAATTTTATACCAGATCTCTGTGTTTCAAATTATGGCCTTTTATTATTCAGTGAAAATATCCAGAGCATTCTTGATTATCTGACCTGTAAAATTTTTAAACTTGAAGCTTTTAATAATTTATGAACATTAGAAATAATATGTAAAAGCTTATATATAATGAAGATTTTATTTACTTATTTGCTGGTTAAATCAGTGGCTTTTAACCAGAATTGTGCAATAGACTCACCTGTCAAGCTTTAGAAAAAAGTACACAAGCTCTCACTTCATCTATAACCTATTAAAATAAGTACTTTTCAGGTTAGATTCTTGGTGCCATGGTTTTAAAAGCTTCATTGATGCTTTGATGCACACTCCTTGCTATCTCAATAGCATTTGTGCTTTTCTTCTTTCTATACATCATCATGACACATAATATTTACAGCAGTGGGTATGTGTAATATTTAATGTCAATGTTTTTAGTCTTAAAAATGACTTCTAACCTCTATTCAGTTTTTTATGTGTAAAGTAAGGGGATTTTGTGGAAGTTATCTTTACTCTGACTGAATCTATGAGAATAGTTTTATTTTTGGCCTCAAATTCATAGCATGGATTGATAATCAATTTTGGCAGTAGCTTCTCACCTATAGAAATTAATATTTTCCCAGATGAGTAGTGAATGACCTATGTATTTAAGTACCCAAATATTTTTCTTTAAAAATTTTTTTAAAATATTTATTTATTTTTAGAGAGAGGGGAAAGGAGGGAGAGGGAGGGTGAGAAACATCGATGTGAGAGATACATTGATCAGTTGCCTCTTGCATGTCCCCAACTGGAAACCTGGCCCAAAACCCAGCCATGTGTCCTGACTAGGAATTGAACTGGTAACCTTTTGGTTCACAGGCTGGCACTCGATTCACTGAGCCACACCAGCCAGGGCACCCATGTATTTTCATATAAAAAGGCTAATTAGTTAAAAAAAAGAACATAAGCTTTAATGTTTCAAAATTTATCACATTACTTATAGCAATTGGAGTTCAGTTTTAAGACATTAAATGTTTTTGTTTATCAGAGCATCATTCGTTGTGATGAAGATGAAGCTCATGTTGCATCGGTATATTGCACTGTATGTGCAACTCACTTGTGCTCAGAGTGTTCGCAAGTTACTCATTCTACAAAGACATTAGCAAAACACAGGCGAGTGCCTCTTGCTGATAAACCTCATGAGAAAACCATGTGCTCTCAGCATCAGGTGCATGCCATTGAGTTTGTTTGTTTGGAAGAAGGCTGTCAAACTAGCCCACTTATGTGCTGTGTCTGCAAAGAATATGGAAAACACCAAGGCCACAAGGTATGAACATTATTAAATTGGATGACTACCTAATTTGCTAGCCCAACATTTGTTTTCACTGACTTGGTTCTGTATGCTAAAAGTAGGGATTGAAGAAGAGTTAAATGATGAACAAGTTGAACTTGGTAGACTGAAAAGAAACAACAGATTTAATTTCTGGAAAACAACAGTTTCAGCAGAGAGGCCTCATGATTCTTTAAAGAAAAATAGCCTTCCAGCAGGAAACAGAAGATCTCTTCTTCATGAGCATGTTTTCATAATGCCCTGGTTGTGTTGATAATACTTATGTCCATTTATGAACTATTGCTTGTGATAAAATTGTAGAGAGTCTCTTAGGTTCTTGTTTAGTAATAAATGGATTTATAAATTTTAAATCGTTTCTTTGCAAGATGAATAGTTACTGGGTGAGAGCAAATTAGTGTTTTGTACCCTGTGCTTTTTATAAATGTGTTATGAAAGCCTCTTGTAGCTGATGCTTTTTTTATTAATAGGAATGATTTAAGTAGTTTTTTTATATCATTAGTCAAATAATAAGAGTTCCTTTCTATAATTATGTTACATTTTATAGCATTCAGTATTGGAACCAGAAGCTAACCAGATCCGAGCATCAATTTTAGATATGGCTCATTGCATACGGACCTTCACTGAGGAAATCTCAGATTATTCCAGAAAGTTAGTTGGAATCGTTCAACACATTGAAGGAGGAGAACAAATAGTAGAAGATGGACTTGGAATGGCCCACACAGAACATGTATGAATTTTTAAATTTTTTCTTTACCTTTTTACCCCTTTTCTTTCTTACCTTTCATCTTCTAGTATTTATTGAGCAATTATACTGCACTAATCACTGGAAAGAATTTTTATACAAAGTCTTTGTCTTTGTGGAACTTACAATCTGTCATGGAGAGAGAGTGTTGAGTATGGTAACTTTATTTTGCGGGAGGGAAGTACAGGATGCTTTGACAATGCATAGGAGGGGCAATAATTTAGGTACATCAGGGAAGACTTCCCAGAAGATGTAATGTCTAAACCGAGATTTGAAGGGATTTAGTTTGGGAGATGTGTAGAGTGGGGAGTGAGTTGTTCCAGAGAGGGAAGCATGTGTTAAAATGTGTGAAAGCGTGAATTATACATATTGTAGAAACTTAACTGAGTTCACTATGGTTGAAGCTTTGAGTATTGGGTAGGGCATGACAAGAAAAGAGGTTGGAGAAGTAAGGGCCAGTCATTCAGGGTCTTATTAGCCGTTTTAAAAGAGTTTGGATTTTATCTTAAGGGAAGTGATGAGCCATTGAAGAATTGGCTTAAGAATAACATAGTCAGGTTTTCATTAAGAAAGGTTGCTTTTCAATGTAGAAAATGAATAGGAGTAGCAACAAGATTGGAAGCAGGAATACCTATTAGCAGTTGCTGGAATTATCCAGTTGAGAGATATTTATGGCCAATATTCTACTACTAGAGTAGTGAGAATGGAGAGAAGTAGATGGATTTGAGATTGTAAAGAAGTAGAATAGGTAGGTCTTAGAGACTGATTAGTAATATTGATTGGACAGCTAACGTGTAGGGTCAGGCAAGATGCCTAGATTTCTACTATGCCCAACTGGGTGGATGGTGATATCATGCACTAATGACAGAGGAGGAAGAGTTTTTGGAGGGGATAATGGTACCAAAGTGATGTTTAATTTGGATGTTGAAGTGTTATTTCTGTGAGATAATCAAGAGGAAATATCCTTCAGTGAATTGAAGAGTGAGTGAGTGTGTCTCATTTTTAAGTTTGGCTATGAAGAGGAGGAAAAAACTAAGGTGGTAGTTATAGTTGCTTTTTAAAATTGAACTGTAGCCCTGGCTGGTGTGGCTCAGTATATTGAGCACTGGCCTGTGAACCAAAGGGTCACTGGTTTGATTCCCAGTCAGGGCACATGTGTGGGTTGCAGGCTGGGTACCCGGTGGGGGATGCGTGAGAAGCAATCACACGTTGATGTTTCTTTCCCTCTCCTTCTACCTCCCTTCCCCTCTGTCTAAAAATAAATAAAATCTTTTTTAAAAAAACTGAATTGTAGAGAAAAGGATCTTTTCAGCTGGGAATATAAAATACAAGGACAGACAAAATGTAATGTTTTTTTGGTTAACCAAAAAAATTTAAAGCTAAGTCATTGGTGAATAATGCTAGAACTGCTTTGTCAAATATAGTAGTCATGTAGTTATTTAAGTTTAAATCATTTAAAACTTAAATGAAATAGAAAATTTAAAATTTAGTTTTTCAGTTTCACTAGCTGTATTTCAAGTATGTGTAGCTAGTACCTGCCATATTGGACTGCACAGACATAGGACATGTCCATTATCAGAGAAAGTTCTATTGGATATTGTTGTGCTAGAGTGGAAATATTTTATTCATTCTTTTAGCAAATATTTATTGAACACATGCCAAGTGCTAGACACTCTTCAAGCTGAGGAGACACCACTGTGCAAGTCAAAAAACTCTCTTTTGCAGAGTTTACATTCTAATATGGGGAGAGAGACAATAAATAAGTAAAATACTTATGGCAGAAGTAAGGTGCTTTGGAGAAAAACAAGGGAAAGGGGGAATGCACTTTTATATGGTGTATTCAGGGACACATTCCCTGAGAAGGTGACACTGAGCAAATACCTAAGGAGATGAGAGAGGGAGTCATGCCAATGTTTGGGGGAAATGCATTCCAGGCAAAGGGAAAAGCAAGTGGAAAGGGCCCTGAAGTTGGAATGTGCGTGATGTGTGCTTAAGAAACTGTGAGGAGACGAAGTGTAGCTAGAATAGAATTATTGAGGGGTCATAGAAGGAGTTGAGGTCACAAAGGGCCTTATAGGTACTTGTTATTTCTGCCATGAATGTTCTTTCCAAAGATGCTCATGTGGTTCCTTCCTTACCTCCTTCAGGTCCTTGCTCAGAGGTCCTTTTCTCAGGGAGTGTGTCTTTGAACACTGCATATAAAAGACTTTGGCATTCACTTTGAGTGGAATGAAGAGTTTTGAGCAGAAGAATAATTACCTTTCTGACTTACCATTTTAAAAAGATCATTCTGGCTGCTTGATAGAGAATGCACTGTAGGGGGCAGGGTTAGATCTGGTGAGACCAGTTAGAAGACTATTACAATAATCAGGTGAGAAATGATAATGGCTTGGGTCAGGTTGATAGAGGAGGAGGTGATGAGGCATAATTAGGTTCTGTATATATTCTGAATTCTACAGAATTTGCTGAGGAACTAGTTGTGGGATAGGAAAGAAGTATTAAAGATGACTGTAGTTTTTTTGTCTTGAACAACCTAGTGATAGAGTTCCCACTTATTGCGGTGACTAGGTTTCGAGTGGGAGAGAATAGAGATTAGGCATTCCATTTTGCTTGAGATTCATTTCAATAGTTACATATCCAAAGACTCTGGTCTAGGGAAAGATCTAGTGTGGAGATACAAAGTTTAGAATTTTTAAAGATATAGATAGTATTTGAATTTTCTTTATTTTACATATATAATCTTTGTTATGGTTATAGTTGTTTAAAACTTATTTTTATTTTCTTAGGTACCAGGTACTGCAGAGAATGCCCGGTCATGTGTTCGAGCTTATTTTTCTGATCTACATGAAACTCTGTGTCGTCAAGAAGAAATGGCTCTAAGTGTTGTCGATGCCCATGTTCGAGAAAAATTGATTTGGCTCAGGCAACAACAAGAAGATATGACTATTTTGTTGTCCCAGGTTTCAACAGCCTGTCTCCATTGTGAAAAGACTTTGCAGCAGGTAGGGATTTAAACATGGGAAGGACATAGTTTAAGAAGGAGGACTTATAAGGTTAATAGATAATTACCAGAGATACTCACTAATCTATTTTATTACTTTAATAAATATTTTTATGTTTTTGAGGGACCCCCAGAACTGGAATTTATTTATAAAAAATTGTGTACTTGTTCTTACATGTTTAAAATTTAGTCATCTTCAGAGTACTCTCCCATTTGATGCAGTACACTTACTGAGATGTTTTCCCACTGCTCAAAACAGTTTTTGAACTTTTCAGTTTTGATGCCTTTTAGTGCTTCTGCCTTTTTCTTTTGTTTGTTTTACCTCTTCCATATGAGCAAAATGTTTGCCTTTGAGGACTTTTTTCATCTGGGGAAACAAAAAAATTCACTTGGGGTGAGATCGGGTCGATAGGGAGGGCAGAGCAGGGGGTCATACAGGTTTTGGTGAAAAACTGCTGGCCACTCAGTGAGGTGTGGGCAGGTGTGCTTGGAAATCATCCATCATGAAATGGGCAAATGTGTTGAAAGAGTCTTGGTTTTAGCAAAAGCCTTTTGTTACCCAGTTTGCAGATAATGTACTTTTTAAATAAATTATATTTAGGGCTATTCTAACAAAAATGTCAGTCTTACTCATTTCTGTTTTGGGTATGCATAGGGCAATATAAGGCTAATTATTGCCCTAGGAATTCCTGATAAGTTGTAGTCAACCTTATCATTACTGATTATTTTAAAGCTAAACTTTTTACCATTGTGGATTTTTTTTCTCTTAAGTATCTAATTAGACTTATCTCAATGTGGCTAGGCTGTAACTACATCAGTCTTGAGCTGTTGTTTATTCCTTATTACATTGAATTGTAACAATTGATGTGTATGTCATATATTAAGTTGTCGTTGAGTTTCAATTTTATTCTTTTATCTTCTGCTTTGTGATGCTGGGATTGGAACCCTATAAACCACTTGTCTCCTTTGCCAGCTGGCTCCTTGTTAGTTTAGCCTCTGCCAACAGGGACATGAAAGGCACTGGAAGGTGGAGATGGTTTCCTGTAGGTCCATTAGCTTGGGGTCCCTGTGAATGTCATTCCTCATATGAGGAGATCTGAGTTTGAGCTCCGTGGGGCCTTTCCTGTAAGTTTCTAGCATCTCTCCTTTATTCCTCCAACCCTGGGGGTGGTAGCTATTTCCATGATAACTCAGAGTTACTTTTATCCTTTTGGTTACCTAGTTAATAACTACACCTAGTTAGCACTTCTTCATATTAAGTTCTTTCTGTTCACGTAACTAGTGTGGTTTTTGTCTCTTGATTTGAACCTGAATGATACAGGATGCATATTTTCCCTAGATATTGATAGGATGCATCCTGTTTATCTTAATATTTCTAAATTCTTCGTATCTAGATAGAAAGAAGTGAATATATACTTGTTCAGATGGGTAATCAAGCTACACAGCAAAATCAAAATGGATCATATTCAAATCATATTTTCTTAAAAATTTCAAAGTAGTTTTTTACCTACTTTATTGGAAAGTATGTTCATAGTTACTAAAACATTAGAAGTTTTTAGAATTTCTGAAGCATAGTTTCAAAGTGGCTGGTAATTGTGAATGATGTAATATTATCTTACTATGCTAATGCTGATGAAATTGAAGTCTTTGATTCCTTCTTCATGAAGACCTGTTTTGTTCTGATTTTTGGCCACAGAACCCTAACTCCTATCAATATTCTTAAAAGTTCCTGCCATAGAGATAAGTGAACAGATGAATGGTTGTAGCATCACACATTTATTACAGATTTTGAGAACAAAACTTAATCATCCCTCCCCTCTAAGTTCAAGGCATGATGCTGAATAATGAGGATGTATCTTTTCATTTAGCAAATATGTATTGAGTGCATACTATATGCTATGTACATTCTAGATCATGGGCTATATCAGTAAACAACACAAGCAAAAACTATAGTCTTGTGGAATTAACATTCTAGCAAGAAGGCAAGCTTTATTTAGATAACCATATCTAAATAAGTAAATTATATAATATATGAAAAAGTGATGAGGTAAGGAAAAAAGAGAAAATGTGAAAGTACAGCAAATTGCATTATTAGTCAGGGTAAACATCTTTGAGAGAAGATTTAAGCAAAGACTCAAAGGTGAAGGAGTTAGTTCAAGCCCTTTTGGGAGGAACAACATTCCAGCAGAGCAAATGGTTAGAGCAGAAACCTTGGGGCAGTGTGCCTGGAGTGTTTGAGGTACAGCAAAAAGAGGCTACTGTGGCTGGAACAGAGTAAGCAGAAGAGGGAGTGATAGAAGCCGAAATCAGAGGTAATAGAGATTATATGTAAAGAAAGCTGTGGGCCATTGGAAGGATGTCAGTTTTCACTGATTGAACTAAGGAAATCATGGGGTTTTGAGCACAACAATGACTTGATCTTACTTGTTAAAAGGATCACCCTGACTGATGTGTAAAATATAGATTGAAGAAGGGTAAAGATAGAAGGAAGGAGTTCAGCGGTTAGGAGGCCGATGTAGAATTCCAAAGTGAGAGAGAACAGTGGCTTGGTTAGTGGCAGTTAGAAATGCCATTTCAGGATATCCAGTAGGACTTGTTGAAAGGTTATATATGGGTTATATATATTAGAGAGGAGAAGGCAAGAATGACCAATGGTTTTGTTCTGAGCAACTGTAATAATGGAATTTCTGTCAACTAATATGAATATGCAACAGTGACCCAAAAATCGACATCATCACTGCACTTGTGGAGCTTACATGTTGTTGGGAGATCTCTGTCTAATGAGGAACATACTGGCACATGTGTAGAATATCCGGAATGCCATCTGAGGAACTGGAAAGTGTTTGACTTTGAGGAGAAGGCCTGCGGATCTAGAGTGAGAGGGGGGCTTTTCACAATCTGACCTATAGTCCTTTTGTCTTTCCTTTTCCTTTCTTTTTTTTTAACTAATACATATATATCTTAAATTATTTTAAAATTGTCTTTTATAGAAGTACAACATAAGTACAGGAATGTGTTCATTAGTGTTCAGCTGGCTGAATTTTCAGACAGGACAATATTGTATAACCAGCATTCAGATCAAGTAACAGAATATTACCAATGCTTGAGAAGCCCCTCAGACTTTTTCTTCTAGTAACAACCTGCCTTTTCTGTGAGGATAAACTACTGTCCTGACTTCTGATGCATTTTTTATTTTTGCCTATTTGGTAATTAATATAAATGGTACAAACAGTATGAACTCCATATGTTTTTTCTTCTTATACTCTACATCATGTTTGTAAAATTCATATCACAGGTAATTGTGACTCATTCTCATAGTAGTATATTGTGTTACATTTGTGAATGTACCACAATTTATTCATTCTTCTGTTGATAGGTTCTTAAATTATTTATTAATGCCTGATTGTTTTTATGCTACTCAAATTTACATTTAAGTTAACTTTGAATACTGGAATGTTAATGAAATGACATCTCTTTTTTCCTTATTTAACTGTTTATAAGAAATACAGTCTTGTCTTTCCTAGGATGATTGTAGAGTTGTCTTGGCAAAACAAGAAATTACAAGGTTACTGGAAACATTGCAGAAACAGCAGCAGCAGTTTACAGAGGTTGCCGATCATATTCAGTTGGATGCCAGCATCCCTGTCACTTTCACAAAGGTAATATACTGTACTTCATTTCAGGTTTCTCTTCTAACTAATCATAATTGTTCACATTCCATGATAATCATCTTGAAAAGACAACTAAGAAATTCATGAATCATAGAAGTTTTAAAAACATATTAATGTAGACTAGAAAGGGATATAAGGAATCTCCCTGTACACATCACTCACTTTAACAATTAAAACTTTTAAATTTCATGCCTCCTTTCCCCACTCCCTTTTCTGTATGTAGTCTCTCAGGTTATTTTGAAATAAATCCCAACATATTTAATCCAACACAACATCATTTCATCTGTGAAATGTTTTCATGTATATTTCTAAAAGGTTAGGACTCTTTTTTTTAGTATACTTTATTGATTATGCTATTACAGTTGTCCCATTTTTTTCCTCCTCTTTATCACCCTCTACCCTGTGTCCCTGCCTCCCTCCAGCATTCTGCCCCCCACTTCTCCACTTAGTTCATGTCCATGGGTCATACATATAAGTTCTTTGGCTTCTCCATTTCCTATACTGTTCTTAACCTCCCCGTGTCTATTTTGTGCCTACCAATTATGCTTCTATTCCCTGCACCTTTTCATCCCATTCTCCCCCTCCCCATTGATAACTCTCCACATGATCTCCATTTCTGTGTTTCTGTCCCTGTTCTAGTTGTTTGCTTAGTTTGTTTTAGTTTTTGTTTTTTAGTTTCAGTTGTTGACAGCTGTGAGTTTATTGTCATAAAAATGACTGTTCATATTTTTGATCTTCTATTTCTTAGATAAGTCTCTTTAACATTTCATATAATAAGAGCTTGGTGATGATGAACTCATTGATCTTGACTTTATCTGAGGAGCACTTTATCTGTTCTTCCATTCTAAATGATAGTTTTGCTGGATAGAGTATATCTTGGATGTAGGTCCTTGCCTTTCATGACTTGGAATACTTCTTTATAGCCCCTTTTTGCCTGCAAATTTTCTTTTGAGAAATCAGCTGATAGTCTTATGGGAACTCCTTTGTAACTGTCCCATTTTCTCTTGCTGTTTTTAAGTTTCTCTCCTTATTTTTAATTTTGGGTAATGTAATTATGATGTGCCATGGTTTGTGCTTCCTTGGGTCCAACTTCTTAGGGACTCTCTGAGCTTCCTGGACTTCCTAGAATTCTACTTCCTTCACCAGATTGGGGAAGTCCTCCTTCATTATTTGTTCAAGTAAACTTTCAATTTCTTGCTCTTGTTCTTCTTCTCCTGGTACCCCTGTAATTTGGGTATTGGAACATTTAAAGTTGCCTCAGAGGTTCCTCAACCTCTCCTCGTTTTTTAGAATTCTTGTTTCTTCATTCTGTGCCACTTGGATGTTTATTTTGTCCTTTTGTTCCAAATTGTTGATTTTAGTCCTGGTTGGTTCCCCATATATTTTCCTTTATTTCATTTTCTGGAATGGAATGAAGACCATTTCTTCATTTTGCAACCAAACTCAATCATTTCTGTGAGCATCTTTTTTACCCGTGTTTTGAACTCTACATCTGATAGGTTGTCTAGCTCCTCATCGCTTAGTTCTTTTTCTGGACTTTTGATCTGCTCTTTCATTTGGGCCATATTTCTTTGTCTCCATGTACCTGTTACATTGTAAGGGGTAGAGCCTTAGGTATTTTCCAGGGTGGGGCAACCCACTTCACGTCATGGTGCTATATGCGTGGGAGGGGTCAGAGAGGGAACAATGCTGCTTGCTTGGCTCTCACCCCACTTTCCCATCACTTCCCTTGCTTCCTACAAGTGGATTGTGCCGTTCCAGGTGCTGATTCCCAGGTGGGTGGTTTTATGTATGTTCTAGGACCCTGTAGGTCTCTCCAACAGACTCTCCTGTGAGACTGGGTGTTTCCCCTGCTGCCACAATCCCCACAGGTTTTTACAACCAGAGGTTTTGAGTCTTTAGTTTTCTGTGCTGAAACCCTGGGTTTTGAGGTCTGCCTTGCTCCCCAGTTGTTCCTCCCAGTTTATCTGTGTGAATGTGGGACCCCTGGTCCACCACATTGGGGCAAGTCCTCTCTGCCATGGTATGCCCATCTCCGCCCCTCCACCTGTCTGGATGAATGTTTCTTTAATTCCTTGGTTGTTGGACTTCCATGCAGTTTGATTTTCTGGCAGTTCTGGTTGTTTTTTGTTTCTAAATTGGTTGATATCCTTCTTTTGGTTGTGCAGGGAAGTGAAGTGTTTCTACCTACATCTCCGTCTTGGCCAGAACTCTGGTAAGGACTATTTTAAAAACAAAATACTATTATCACACTTAAAAATTTTAACAATAAATCTCTAATACTATCCATTATCCAGTTAGTATTCAGATTTCCCAGATTGTTAAAAGAATTTTTTAAGTTCCTCTTATTTTTGAGATAGAATCCAAACAAGGCCTATACTTGTTTCATATATTTTAATCGTTTTTAAAGTAGATTTTCCTAGCTTACAAAGGTTAATGTGTTCCATTTTGCTTTTTATTTTTAGAGATTAAAAAAAATTAATATTGTTTTATAATTATGGGAAATGTTTACATGGTCCAGAGTCACATCTACAAAACAAGGTTCATTCAGAGCAGCCTAGTCTCTCCCTGACCCCGTACTCTTTTCCTCCCTTGCCCATAGAAAACCATTAAGAATTTCTTCTTAATTTTAATCATCATTTAAAAATATAAAGAGAAGTATTTGTATATTTATTTGTATACTCCCTGCATGTAAAGGTAGAATACCTTACATATTTCTCCACTTTATCCTTTTTGCTCCACTTTCTCCTTTATCCTGGAGAGCATTCCACAACAGTACACAGTGGCATTTTCTGTTCCTCTTCATAGCTGCAAGATACACTATTGTGAGGATGGACCACATTTTTTTATTATGGCACAAAGCACATAATATAAAATTTACCATCCTAACCATTTTTAAGTGTACAGGTTGATATTGTTAAGTAAATTCACTTTGTGTGAAACAAATCTCCAGAAGTTTTTCATTTTGCAAGACTGAAACTCTATACCTTATGAACAGTAACTTTTCCCCCTACCTTACCAGCTCCTGGCAACTTTCTGTTTCTTTTAATTTGGCTACTGTAAATACTTCATGTAAGTGGAAGCATATAGTATTTACCTTTTTGTGACTCGCTTATTTCATTTAGCACAATGTCCTCAAAGTTTATGTCACAGAATGTGACAGAATTGTTTGCATGTAGCACATTTTGTTTATCCAGTCATTCATTGAAGGGTGTTAGGGTTACTTACACCTCTTAGCTGTTGTGAATAGTGCTGCTGTGAACATAGGTGTGCAAATATCTCTCTAAGATCTTGCTTTCAGTTTTTTTTGGATGTATATCCAGGAGATTACTGGATGATATTGTAGTTTAATTTTTAATTTTCTGAGAAAATGCCATACTATTTTCTATGGTTGTTGCACTATATTATAATGCCACGAGCAAAACACAGGGTTCTAATTTCTCCACATTTTTACCAACACTTGTTTTTGGTTTGGGGTTTTTGTTTTTGTTTTTTTTTAATAGTAGCCATCCTAATGGGTATGAGGTGATATTTCCTTGTGATTTTGGTTTGTATTTCTCTGATGACTAGTGATATTGAGCATCTACTCACATGACTTTTGGCCATCTGGTATACTGTTTGGAGACATTTTGTGTAAGTCTTTTGCCTGTTTTTTAACTGAGTAATTTGATTTTTTTGTTGTTGGGTTGTAGAAGTTCTCTGTGTATTCTGTATATGAATCCATTATCAAGATACATGATTTGCAGATATTTTCTCCCACTACTGAGGGTGCTTCTTCACTCTGTTGACTGTGTTCTTTGATTCATAGAAGCTTTAAGGATCGATAGAGTCCCATTTGTCTATTTTTGCTTGTGCTGACTGTACCTTTGGTGTCATATTGCGGAAATCATTGCCAGATCCAATGTCATTAAGCTCTTCCCCTATGATTTCTTTTAGGAGTTTAACAGTTTTAGGTCTTATGTTTAGGGCTTTAATTCATATATTTATAAGCCAACTACTATATATAATTGTTGTATCTTTTTTGTAAATTTACCCTTTTCTCATTATAAAATGACATTCTTTCTCTTACAATGGTTTCTGACTTAAAGTCTATTTTGTCTGATAGAATAGCCATCCCTGCTCTTTTGGGTATGATTTGCATAGAATATCTTTTTCCTGTTAGATATAAAATGAGTCACTTGTAGACGGCATATTGTTGGATCTTGCTTTTTTATCCATTTAGTTAAACTTTATCTTTTGATTGGGGCATTAAATCCATTAATATTTAAAGTAGTTATTGCTAAGTAACTCACTATTGCCATTTTGTTGCTTTCTGTATGTCTTGTCTCTCCTTTCCTCCTTTACTGCCTTTTTTTTGTATTTTACTATTTCATAGTGACATGGTTTGATTCCCTTTTCATTTCTTTTTTTGTGTGTATTCTCTGAATTTCTTGTGTTTACCATCATAATTACATAAAACATCTTAGTTCTAACATTCTATTTTTAAATGATTACACTTTAACTTTAGTTGCATGCAAAAACCCTATTTCACCCCCCTCACTTTGTTATTGATGTCACAAATTACATCTTTATATATTGTATACCAATGAACAGTTTTACAGTTCAAAATGTTTTCTTTTTATTTTTCAATTACAGTTTACATTTGATATTTTTATATTAGTTTCAGGTATATGAAATATTTTTGTTATTTTAAATCCATAAAACTTTATGTGCCAAAATTACAATAATATAGGTTACTGTTTGTTTACATATTTACATTTACCATTTTATTATTTCATATGTGTTTGTGTTCCTATCTATCATCCTTTTATTTCAACTTGAAAGTCTCCTTTAACATTTCTTTTAGAGCAGATCTAATAGTTATGGCTCCCTCAGGTTTTGCTTTTCTGAGCAAGTTATTTTCTTAATTTAACTTTTTAAAATTGATTGATTTTAGAGGAAGAGAGGGAGGAAGGGGAGGAGAGTGGAGGAACACTGATTTGTTGTTCCATTTATTTTATTCATGTATTGGTTGATTTTTGTATGTGCCCTGAGTGGGGATGGAACTCACAATCTTGTCATACTGGGATGATGCTCTAACTAGCTGAGCTACCTGGCCAGGGCTGGGAAAGGACAGTTTTGCCATACATAGCATTTCATGATAAAAAGTTTTTTTTCTTTTTTTAATTAATATTTTATTTTTAAATTACAGTTTACATTCAGTATTATTCTGTATTAGTTTCAGACGTGTAGCACACTAGTTAGAAAATCATGTACTTTAGAGAATGATCCCTCCAATGCTTCCAAGTATCCACCCACCTGGCCCCATACGCATTTATCACATATTCTCTATGCTGTAATATACATCTCTGTGATTATTCTTTTTTTTTCTGTGATTATTAAACTACCTTTGTACTGCTTAATCCCTTCACCTTTTTCACCCAGTCCCCTAACCTTCCTCCTCTCTAACAACTGTCAGTCTATTCTGACAGTTTCTATTCCTTTCAGTATATTCAATACATATGTCTTCCTTCTCCTTTTGGGCCTGCAAACTTTCTGCTGAAAAATCAGCTCATAATCTAATGGAAGCTCCCTTGTCTGAGATGAGTCACTTTTCTCTTGTTGCTCTTAAGATCCTCTCTTTGTCTTTGACTTTTGGCAGTTTGATTATAATGTGTCTCAGTATGGGTCTATTTGGCTTTTTCCTAGTTAGAATGCATTGATTTAGAATTTTTATATCCATTTCTCTCTTCAGATTGGGAAGTTTTCAGTCATTGTTTCTTTAGGTAAGCTCTCTCTGCCCCTTTTCTTTCTCCTCTTCCTGGGACTCATAATGTACGTATTGGTCTCCTTGCTAGTGTCACATACATCCTTTAGGGTTTCTTCACTCATTTTTCTTTTTTCTCCTCTGACTTGATGATTTCAAATGACTTATCTTTGAATTTGGTGATTCTCTCTTCTGCCTGTTGAAGTCTGCTATTGAAACTCTAGTGAACTTTTTCAGTACAGTTATTATATTTTCAGCTCCAGAGTGCTAGTTATTTCTTGAAATTTCTCTTTGTTGGTATTCTCATTTTGTCCAATCTTTATTTTTTTAATCTTACTTATTTGTCTCTGTTTCTTTTACCTTATTGAGTGTCTCTCTTAAATGTATTTTAAATTCTTGGGCAATAATTCATAGATCTGAATTTTTTTTTGTTGGTTGACTTTTTTATTATAACTTTCTTGAAATGATATTATATTTTTGGAAGTATATCTAAAAGGATTTAAAATTTTCTCATGAATAATTTTATAGTTCCAAAGAAACTGGTTTCATGATAGGAAATTGTTCATTTCTGTTTACAGTCTTGTCTTTGAACTGAATTCAGAACTTATGCAGCTCATTTTAAAGGTGGAAGTTTGGGTGGCATGCCCTGTGGTCCCTAGCATATATGTTTTCCATAGTTGTCATTATGGTAATGATGATTTATTACTTTTCTTTTGCTGTTCATTCTTACTCAGATCCTAGTATACCTCTCCAAAATATGAGATAAAAAATGTAACAAATACTATTCTAAAGTATGCTATTTCTTTACACAGATCCTAATATACTTCTCTGAAATATGAAATGAAGAATATAACAAAATATTATTCCAGTTTTCTTACAAGTATCAATTTCTCACACATGTAACTAAAGTGTTTTTTTGGTTTTTGTTTGTAATTTTATCTTAATTGTTGTTGCAGTACAATTTTCTATCTTTTACTCCCATCCCAACCCATCCATCCAGCCCTCTTCTCCTCCCTCCCAAGATCTGAATTTTTTTCACGGTCAGTTTTTAGAATTTTATTTTGTCCTTTGATTAGGTCAAGTTTTCCTGTTTCTTTTATGCCTTGTCATATTTTGTTGAGATTTGGGCATTCGAATAAACAACTACCTCTCCAAATCTTTATGAACTAGCTTTGAGCCTGGGAAGACCTTTACCAATCAGCCCTACAAGAGATTCTAGACTTCTTAAGTCTTTTCTGGGTATATCTTTTCTTGGCTTGTCTCAAATTCTCTAATCAGCTTGCCCCCCTACATTTTCTCAGAGGCCAGTAATCTCTCATTCTCCCTGTGCAACAGCAGCTCCAGTGTGCCATGTCCTTGCCTCTGTTTCCACTGGCTTTCAAATTATGTTGCTGCGTGAGATAATGACTGGTCTGTATCTAAGGCAGCCCCCAGATAAGCCAGAACATTCAATGCTCAGTAAATTCTTATGTTCTGTCCTGGTATGGGAGTTCTCCTACTTACATTGTACTCTCCCAAGTTGGGCAGGGGCACAAATTGGTGTGCTGAATTCTGTGAATTCTCCTACCATTTTTGTTAGAATCCCTTCTTGGTTTTATGTTGGCCTGGGTATTTTAGTCTTACAGCTGGTCTCTAGAGTTCTCACAAAGATATTCTGGTCCATAGATTGTTTTATTTCTGAATCTTAGGACTATCCTGAAGTGTATACTTGGGAGTGAATGAGAACATGCAGATGAGAGGGAACATCCAAAGAGGTGGGATAAACACCAGGACAATTTTGTGTCATAAAAGAAAAGAGTGCTAAAATGAGGAGGCAAAATAATGAGTACTGACACTTATATGGTACTTACCACATTACAGGAACTGTGGTAAGGACTTTTGCATGTATTTAAAAAAATAATCCATGCAAAAATTGTATAAGTTTGGTACTATTTTAATCCTTCATTTATAAATGAAGGAAGTGAGGCAGAGGGGTCATGCAGCTGGTAATATATACAAGTATGTTCATTGCTCATTCTCCATAATATATGAAATATAGAGATGACCTAACATCTGTCATTTGGGGATTGGTTAATTGTGGTTCATGGGATATAATGAAGCAATTGAAAGAAAAAGGTAGGTCTTTATGTTCTGAAATGAAAGCATTCCATAATATACTGTTGATTATAAAAGCTAGTTGCAATATATGTTTTTTAAATTTAGCTTTTTAAAAAGTATATTTGTTTTGTTTGTGTATATCAACCAGTATGTGCATAGGAAAGTGTCTGGAGGGATATACATGAAATTGTTGGCTGGACATTTCTGGGAAGTGAGCAGCAGTTTTCATTTTCAATTAAAATATTTAGCACAGCATAAAAAAACTTATTTAAAGAAGATTCAATTGAGCGAAAAAATCTTGAATAAGTAAGTGGATATGTATTTTTTATTTATACGAAAACAAATTAGTCAGTTTTACTAAGGGATTTAGCAATAAGGAGTGATTCTTCTCTCTTGAGATCAGATTCAAGGTGTTTTAGGGAATATAACTCAGATTTTGATGGGTTGAACAATGAGTCGGAATAATTAACAATGAGATTTTATAAATAAAAGTATAAATCTTAATGTTTTCTAATTCTGTATCAAAAGATTTAAATTTTTTTAAAATTATAGGACAATAGAGTTCACATTGGACCCAAAATGGAAATTCGAGTTGTTACATTAGGATTAGATGGTGCTGGAAAAACTACTATTTTGTTTAAGTTAAAACAGGATGAGTTTATGCAGCCTATTCCAACAATTGGTGAGTATGAGTATTGCTTTTTACCTTATGGACCTTTTATTAACAAACCCTAGTTCACAAGCTGAGTTTTGCGGATCTTATTTTATGCCAGTTTGGCATGGAGATGGGTTTTTTTCTTGCTGTAAGACACCAACATTCCAAAGGAAAAAAGCAAAATTCGGTGGCTTTGGGATTGAAATGTGGATGGTAGGATAATAGGGAACAGAGTATTGGTGGGACAGTTGGAAAGGAGTGAAGGATTGGTGCCCCTGGCTGAGGTCAGGCGTGAGAGGGTGGTAGTGGTACAGAATTGGCGAGTACTTGGGTTTCAGGGTCCTAGGGACTCTAGTGACGCTTTAGAGGGCTAACGCCTGGGAAAGGTGCACATTTCCTGTGATGGGTTGTTAGGAGTGGAGTTGTGGGGCAGCAGTAGGTGTCACTGTTTGAAGGTAATTTGTAAGTCGCAGTTCTAAACAGGGTTGTCTTGTGTTTGGTGTGTCACTCATTGTCGTTAAGTTCAGTATTAAAGTAACTGTTTTCTAAAACAGGTTTTAATGTGGAAACTGTAGAATATAAAAACCTAAAGTTCACTATTTGGGATGTAGGTGGAAAACACAAATTAAGACCATTGTGGAAACATTATTACCTCAATACCCAAGGTAAGAGGGGAAGAAATGACATCTTAATTTTTCAGATTTTTAGGATACCAGTTTTCAGTATATTTATTTAATTAATAAAGCTGGTAATTTAAGCCTTGATTAAATAATGACTGTAACTTTGAATATTGGTGGTCAGCCCACATTTAAAAAAATGAAGGTGGAAAGATTGGGATATGTACTTTGGTATATTTCATGAAAAACTATAATTATAGCATAAAACAATAGTTAGATTAGATATGTGGGCAGTTAAGAGTAGTTACCTCTTGCTGCTCTTAGCAGTTAAAGTGTATTTTTAGTGTCATGCGCATGATTGATCACAGTATTGTGGAGTATAGCAGAATTTGGTGTATAGTTCTGCTGCTCAATTCAGTATTTATCCCGTCGTAATATCTTATAGCTCCATTTGCATTCACAGTTGTTATCTGCAGAAAAACCTACAGTCGTTTGCTTTTGGCCGAACTGTGGCATTTCACACGTATTCCACCTGGCATTTATTCACATCTGGGCCCTGGCGTGCCTCCTGCACTCTAACACGGAGTTTATGTTTATGCCACCTGTTCCACATGTCGTCCTACTTTCACTTTGGGGCTTTAGATATTGAGTTTAGTATGAGACAGTGCTTAACAGAAAAAAAAATGGAATTTTAATCATGAGGAAAGTCATCTTGGAAAGATAAAATGGTGATTTATTTATGTTTAAAGAACTATCTTTTGGTAAAAAAAAAGTAGTAATCAAAGAACAGGTAGCCTCAGTAAGTAGATCATGATAGGTACATTTTCATTCATTAAGAGAAAATATCAATTGATATACACAGCAATTTGTGTTGGGTAGAGCAGGTGTAAATCTTGTTATAGAAGGGGAAATGAAAGCTGAAAAGTTACACAACATATTTGAGATCATATTGTTAATTATTGCTCCTGTAGTAATAGGCAGCCTTTCTGTACCCATAAGATAATAATGGGAGTGTGAAAATATTTTTTCCGTTTATTGAAACTTAATAGGTACTGACTGAATTTTTTTGTTGTTTTGTTGGTAGCTGTTGTGTTTGTTGTCGATAGCAGTCATAGAGACAGAGTTAATGAAGCACACAGTGAACTTGCAAAGTTGTTAACAGAAAAAGAACTCCGAGATGCTTTGCTTCTGATTTTTGCTAACAAACAGGTAATGCATTTTTATTTTAGAATGCTTATTTTAGTAATCTTGTGCATTTCACATCATAAAGTGGTTGGAAAGATTTAAACAAGTAATTAGTAGATATTTATGAAGTTTCTGATATATATTCTGAGTACAGTCTGTGAGGAAGGTGCTGTGCTTTGTACCTTGAAGTATTGAAAAAGAAATAAGGTCATTGATGCTCTCTGGAAACTCCAGTGTAAGTAAACATGTAAGTGAATATATATGAGATTCTAATACAGAGAAAATTGGTAAGTAACTTGAATAATTTAACAAATTGCTATGGCAAATTGGAGAGAGAATAATTCTAAAGGTGACATCTTGTAAGGTTTATAAAAAAGTAGGGTTTGTGTTGAAATTATGGTAAGTTGAAATTATGGATAAAACTTTGAGTCAGTATATGAAGGGAAAAACATTGTAGGCAGAGAAAACAAAAGTATATTTAGGGAGCATGAAATGAACCTGTAAGTGAGGAGCAGATAGTGGATGAAGAAATCTAGAATAACAAGTGAGGCCACACTGTGAAGGCCTGACTGTCCCAGACTGAGAAATTTAAGTTTTATTCTATGACCAAAGGAGGACCATCTAAAGGTTTTTGGACTAGTAGGTTATAAGATCACATCAGTGTTTTAGACTGCAGTCCTGGGGGTAGGATGCAGAATTAGGGCAAGGGACTAGAGACAGGAAGATGCAGTAAATTGCTGCAGTAATTCACCTGAGAGAGGTAACAAGATCCTTGTTAGAGGAATAGATAGGTGGAAGCAGAGTGAAGATGTTTAATAAGGGTAGAATTGTTAGAATTTGGTGACCAAATGGGGAGGATGAAGGACAGGAGTAGGGGAAGATTTGTACCCTGAGCCTAAGTTTCTAGGAGGATGAAAATGGTTTAATGGGTGTAGCCACTCAGATGTCATAAGGAGGAGTAGGATGAGAAATACAGGATTTTCTCCTTAATTAAAAAAAAAGGCCCCCCAAAAGCCGATATGCTTTGCTGTACTTAAGATTAAAGACACAAATAAGAAAAGTGAAATACCATTTTCCAACTATCATAATGTGAAAGTTTTCTTAGAGAGCATTATGGCAATAACTGTCAGAGCTTTTACCCTGAAATTCTACCTCTAATAATATGTCCTACAAACAAATATCCTAAAGTCATCCTGCAGATGCTTTTGCAAATGTACAAGTTCTGTCCAGGAGGTATCTAGCCATGTAATATGAAAAATAGATACATTTATTGAAGAAGATAAAAGAAACACTGTACATAGGACAATGACACCTCAGTCCCCTTCAAAGTAGGCACCTTGGGACCTCACATAGTTCTTCCAGTTGCCATCAGCTGCCCTGTCATCTTTTCCTCAATCTCATCGAGGGTCTGAAATCTCTTCCCTTTCAAAGGTGATTTTAGTTTTGGGAAAAGCCAGGAATTGCAAGGCACCAAATCTAGGCTGTAGGGGGGCTGAGTCACCTGAGTGATTTGATATTTCACCAAAAAACTCTGCACGAGACATGATGCATGAGCAGGCATGTTGTAGCAACGAAGGTGCCAATCACCAGTTGCCCATAGCTTCGGCCTTCTGAATCATCCAAATAGTTTCCATGGAGGAATGTTTAAGCTTAATGCAAAATTTGATGCATATTTGTTGCTGTACTCACTCAGTCATTTTGAATGTGATGGCCACACAGTATACAAGTTCACTCAATGTTGTCTACTGTCCCCACTGACTAGTACAGTGAAGTCATCATTGTTCACACATGTGCATTCCAGCCCACTCTCCTTGGCTGCCAGGTTACATGGATGTCACACAAACTGTTCTTGTTATATTAACAATGGCTGGAATTTTTCCCAACCTCATGTTTGTAAAAATATGTATGTATATGTATGTATTTGTAATAGCACATAAGCACACAACTTAATCTGAATATCCAGTATAGGACTGGTAGAAAACTTTGTTGCACCTACACAAGGGAATGCAGTTCAGTTGTTAAAAATAAGCAAACAACCTGTTTATCCTGATAGGGGGAAGTTATCTATAGTCAACATATGTGTTAAGTAAAAACAAAAAAAATGAGCATATTCCTATTTGTGCATGGAAATTTTCTGGAAATATATGTAAGAGCTTATTACTGATGGTTGCTTCTGGGAAGTGGGGGGGTCAGAATAGTAGTAGTTTAATAAACTTCATTTTACAAACCCTATTTATAAGCTCTTTTAAAATTATATACACATTAGTTTTTTTTTAATTGATGCATCATAATGACTCAGGCAGTATTTTTCACTCAGGCTTCATGGCTTATATTGATTTCATTGTAAGGCTATTCTTATAAACATATGTGATTTTAATAAAAGCTCTACTTTTTAATAGTCTTATTAATTTCAGAATAATTACTGAAAGGTGAATCTAAGTTTTTAGATTAAGCTTTGGTTAGAATGGTGGCAGTACAATTCTCTGTAAGTGGTAATAATTAGAAAAATGATAGTATTGATGGACTGAGTTTTTAAAAATTCTCATGTGTATGTATCTTTCAGGATGTTGCTGGAGCTCTTTCAATAGAAGAAATCACTGAACTTCTCAGTCTTCATAAACTGTGCTGTGGCCGCAGCTGGTATATCCAGGGCTGCGACGCACGAAGTGGTATGGGACTCTATGAAGGGTTGGACTGGCTCTCACGGCAACTTGTGGCTGCTGGAGTACTGGATGTTGCTTGATTATATATGCAAGTTGTTCCAAGTTTTGTGGTCAAGAGTTATTTTGCACATAATATGTTGTAAGAAATTCTACATCTCAAGATAGTTAATTTAGAATACGTATGTAAAAGGAATATTGGATTGGGAGATCACAGTATTGCTTTTAAAAATATTCTGTAGCAAACTTAAATATCTGAATAGGTTAACATTGGATTAAAAAGGGGTTCCTTGAGTATACATTTTTTTAAATGTGCATTTGTTATTTGAGTTTTTCAGATTATACGTGACCCATATATTGGGAAAGAAAGTTACAGAGAAGGGTAAGTGAAGGTTTGTTCTTACTGCCAACTGAGTGCCTAATGGAACCTCTGTGAAACAAGTGAAGCATAACTTGACTTTCCCTGAATTTTGGCAGGTTTAGGAGTAAGAATGGCAATGACTTAATGAAAGAGAATCCACAAATTGCATCTTTGGGTAATAGGTTACTTTTATCTTTAGTATAACAGAATACCTTTAAGACTACAAGCTATAGAAAATTAACATTTTATAGTGTTTTACTAAAACTTTCTCCTAAAGCATTTTGTATAAAATCCAGTGAGTCAGAATGAAATGTTGCTTAACTAAGTCTGTCAAATTAGTACTAACCTGAAGAATAGTAAAACTGTGAAAGTCACTTAGGTTCTAGTTGAACTTCACTTATGAAAGACCCATTTCCAGGGCTGAACCTGGATGTATTCCTAGGTCAGAGTTCTAAATTGGTTTTTCTATTATTTCAGCATACTCAAGTATTACTTAGTGTTTATATTTCAAATAATATTGTATCCTTAGTGAGAATCACTGTATGTAAAAGGTATTAAAAAACCAGAGCTGGCTTTACATAAAAGAGAGACATCTTAAGTAGAAAGCTACCTTTACCTAAGAGAAGTCATTTAAACAATAGGGAATGATTTCCCAAAATAAGTGCATTTATCTTCAGAGTAAAATATGGTCAAGGCTCTTTGTGACAAGGCCTTCAAGTTACTTAAGGGAAAAAGCATGTCCAAGGAAGGAAAAGAAGAAATGTTGAAAAAGTTTACACTTACTGTGTAGTGTTGTGAGTGAAAGTTTAAAAATTTTGTGCTGTTGTTTTTCATTTTTTAAGGATATTCCCTTACTATGGCAGTACAATTTATTAAACATAGCTAGATTGGATTTCATGGTTTTTTAAAAATACTTTTTATATTTTAGGATGAAGTTGAGTCATAAATCTTAGTTGAACTACTGTGAGGACACTGATGTGTAATGACAAGATGTGATTTGGTGGTACTGTTTTGGTTCACTGTCTTCAAATATATTTTTAGTTGTTTAAAAACTTTTAGAAAACAAAGCATTACAAAAAAGTCCAGTGTTATGGGCAATGTGTAAATAAATAAATATAATTATACTGTCCTTTATTTTTCAAGTAAAAGGTCATGCTGTTGCAAGTGTAGTTTGTGCATATAAGTAATATTTCTAAATTAAATTATTTAATATTGGACTGATTGCAATAACTGTGAAAAAAGTAGGTGTTACATTTGCCTGTGAGCCCTTGAACTGTTTTCTTTACTAGGTAACTGAAAGAAAAATGTCTAACACTAATATGTAAACTTGCTTTTCTTGTAAATTATTAAGTGTATTTCACCAATTTTGTTAAACTTTGTAATTCACATTCTTAGCATATTACTAAACACAATTTTAAAATTGTGCTTAGATCTGATTATAATGTATATAACAGTGGTGTTTCCGTGTAATTTCTTTTTAAGAAATATTTTTCTTAGGCTGTTACTAATATTTGTGGTTGTACTAGTTCACTAATGATTAGTTAAGATTGTGCTAGTTCCCTCTGGGAAATACCAGATTTAAGAATGAGAGAGGCATTTTAAGTACAGTCTATTAGGCTGTTAGGATTTGATTCCTAGCTTTGAATTTCTGTATTAGGCCTACATATTACTGTATGAGTTTTATAAAGCAAGTTTTTCAAGTGAATAGCCCTGGTCTGTAAACCTGGAATGCTTTACAATCACGAGACTACACATATGATCAGCATAGAGAGCAATAAAATTTTAAAATCCTTTTATAGAAGTCCTATCATTATTCTTAAAATCCTGTTTATTGAACCATTTATTTTGAACTAGTAGTAGTGCTAATAACCAATTTAAAGTCATTTTTGTTCTGTGGTTAAGAGAAACAAATAATAAAATAAGGTAGGGACCCACATGTCAAATTTGAAATGTAGTTTAATACTAAACACTTAGAAACAACTTATTCTGTATTTGCAGTCTGTCCCAGTTAAATGAGTATTACAAACCCAGTGTTTTGAAAAGAGCTAGAATTTTGCAATGAGCCAAGTCTATTACTTTTTTAAATTTTAAAATTAACCTTGTTTCATTTGAGAACATAGCATGTTTTTAATTTTTAATTTTTAGAGAGAGAGGAAAGGGGAGGGATGGAGGGAGAGAAACGTCAGTAGGCTGCCTTTTGCACCCCCCAGCCCAGGCATGTGCCCTGACAGGACCAGCAGCATTCAAGTTTGTGGGATGATGCCCAGCCCACTGAGCAACACCAGTTAGAATGCAAGAACATAGCATTTTAAGCAATGGTTTTAGAAAATGGCTCGGAAAACTTAGCTGTAGCCTTTGCACTAAAATTGCTAAAAGAAAGACTTTTTATGTAACATTGAGCTACTTCTCAATTTGCAAAGTAGGAACAGGAAAGAAGAAAACTACTTTTCTCCTAAATGAATGAGTGAAAAGGACTAATGTTTCTTCCTAATAATTTAAAACATACTTTTTCTCCTTGCATTTAATATTCAAAATAATTTTTTTTCTGTTTAAAATATACTTTCAAAAAGACATCTGGCAATTTATGTGTTTAGGTTGACTGATAAACATGTGACATAGAATGGAAAAATTCATTAATCCAAAATGATTTTTCACTCAAAGCAAAATCATATTTTGAGGAAAATGAAGCATCACCTCCACTTGGTGGCAGTATTACCAAAAATTTAGGTTTAGTCTTTTAGGAATGAATACATTGCTAGGTAGAGAAGTGTAAACACCTAAAATTAAGAAGAAAAGGGAAATGACACAGTGAAAAGTCATTTTATGTCCATCTTCAAGTTTCTACTTTTTAAAAGGAGGACACAGTTTTAACAGAACAATTTGGCATATTTTTCCAACGCATAAAAGTTTGGGGTACAAAATGAATAAAGGAAATAATCCTGCTGACCAACAGAAGTGTAAGCTAAGATTTAAAGTATAAGAATGAAATCCTTAAACAGGTCTGTTGAACATGTTTCTCCTATTAAGTTTTTGAAGAATCTGGAAATTGGAAGTAGTAGTTCTGGACAGTTATGAAGTTAGGGTAAGTGAAGAAGAGAAAATCAATACAAGAGTTTGGACTCACTGTTTTACTGCTACAATTTCTACTGATCTCTCATTAGATACTAAAAATTTGTACTCCATATGTATTTTTGATATATTTAGTAAGATAAAATATATTTAAATATATTTTATATTTTATAAAATATTTTATATTATATATTTTATAAATATATTTAAAATATATTTTATCTTACTAATATTGATATATTTAGTACTTTGCAAAATACTATAAACTTGAGGATAGAAAATTTAGCTACATTAGAAAAATAAAATAGTAAATGAATCTGTATAAAACCAAGGACTCAGGTATTCATTGATTCTTACATTTGAAAGAATATTTGATAGTTATGAAGGAATTCAACACTCTTGACCAAAGGGACTTGATATTTTTACTTACTGAAGTTTTACTTAACACTACTTATGACTTAATGATCAAAAGACAAAACTATATGGCATGGAACACAAGCCTTGTAAAAGAAAGGAAATAGTATATACTATCAGTTCCTTCATGGATTTAAAGAAACATTGAGGACAGGTTTAACTGGCATGTTTTAAAAAGCTGAGGAAAAAATGCATACCATTCTAATTATTTAGTATGGTTTTGAGTCTCCTAATATTTATAGAAATTATAAATAAGGAGTGGTGTTTTACCCGAGTTTAGTCCATTTCGCCTCCTACATGAGAAATATTCAAGAAAAGGCAAAGTTTTTAAAAGGAATTTAATGAAAAATATAAAAATACAATACTGCAATCCTTAAAACATGATTTGTAGGTTCAGGAAGTGTTGAGATATTCCCAAATATCACTTGACAGTAATATTTATGATGCTGACGTCCTCATAGGGCTTATCTGTTTTGGGGTTGACTTTAACGTTGGAGATCCTTTGTACAACTTCCATTCCCTTAGTCACTCGCCCGAAGACCGTGTGCTTATTGTCGAGCCAAGGCTGTGTTGGAGGACAAATGGAAAAATCTTGGTAAACCAGGTTTCTTCACTCACACCCTCTGGGTGAGCAAATTAAAGAGAATTTAAATTTATTCTTTATAAATTTAAATTTATAAAGATTTAAATTTATAAATTTTTAAATTATAAAATTTATAATTTAGCTGACTAAATTATAGCTGACTTTTACAATGATTTCCATGTTTATAAGTAAAAACACAAAAGCACAGCATAGAGTTTAAATATCTGCATCTTTCAGACCAAAGGGAGCCACTATGTGTTTGCTAAAGGCAGTTTCTTTGCACTTAAAGACTTACGGCTAAGGCTTTAAAAGTCTTCAGCAGGAATCCTGCCTGCACAATTAAGAGGCAATTTGGGCTAGTTTAAGCAGTGTGCGCTTTGGCATTAGAGACAGGGCCCTCGAATGCTGGCTGTGCTACTTACTTGATCTTTGACAAGTTAGTCACGCTTGCTTCCTCCTCTGTTAATTAAAATTGGGTTTAGTGATGCTGGAAGTACTGTGAATGTCACATGAAACTATGTTCCTGGCAGACAGTAGTTATAAACATTTTTCCTTCACTGCTTAGTGCTTAATTATGAAAAATAAAGTATAATTTTTATAATTATGTGGAAATGCACAATAGCACTAGATATTCTTATATTGTATTCCATCAAATCTACAACGCCATTCTTTGGTTATCAGCTGCATTTTGATTTCAGAAATGGAAAAATGTCTTAAAATTAGTAATTCATATACTCTTTTATATTCTGTCTTCACCCACAGACATGCTTTTAGAGAGAGGGACATGGAGGGAGAAAGAAAGGGAGGGAAACATCAATTGGTTGCCTCTTGTACCTGCCCCAACTGGGGACCGAACCCACAACCTAGGCATGTGCCCTAACCAGGAATCAAACCAGCAAATCTTTCGTTTTGCAGGACAATACCTAACCAACTGAGCTACACCGGCCAGGGCCGGGATTGATATACTCTAACCTCCATTCTAAAGATGAGAAACAAGACCAGAAGTAAAATAATTTGTTTTGAACTCTACAAAAAAAATAGTGGCAAGGTGACTAAAACTTAACTGCCCTAAATTACAGAAGTATTGTTTTACAAAGTAAATCTGATCTGTTAGGTAATTTTATATTTTCTTATCTAAATTGTTTTCATTTTTACATCCTGGCAAATATAAATCATGGCACAGAGTAATGCAGCTCTCTGTTCCACTGAATTTACTCTTAGTTCATAACCTATGAACCTCGAGCTCACAGATAATGCTGTTAGTACTCACCGTTGGAACAACTGTTATGAAAAACTGAGATCCGTTTGTATTCGATCCAGCGTTGGCCATGCTGAGTGTATACGGTCTGTCATGTCGTAATGTTGAGTGAAATTCATCTTCGAATTCTCCTCCCCATATACTTTCTCCTCCCATGCCAGTACCTGTTGGATCTCCTGTCTGAATCATGAAGCCCTTAACAGAAAGTATACAAAAAAACACATTACACTGTTTTTCTATGCGTGTGCACTCTGGAGTTACGTTTGTCAAGAGTGCTTTGTATGCAGTAAAATCTCAACTTTATACATTAATTTGAATGATATAATTCCATTGCTCAACTGCTACCTAATTTAAGAGAAAATACGTAGGTCTTCTCATTTATAGACACATATATCTTCCCTAATAATCTAACTGAAGCTAATAGTATAAGTTTCAGGATCTGTATAGTATATTATAGCTTACATTACTGCCCCATTCTTCTCCATTTCCCTAAACACTGGATTTTCTGGATTTCATTTCACTAATTCCTCCAGAGTCCTGAAATTTGACTTTTCCTCCTGCCATTTCTGACCTGTCAGTAACCAAGAACTATATATCCATTTTATGGAATGCTGCTCAACAAAATCTTGGGCAGAGTTCATTCTGCTCTTCAGGTACTAATGGTGGTCCTTACAGGTTAAGTGGCATCTGGGCTTTTCTGTTATTTAAAACCAACTTTT